ATTGTTTTGGGGGAGGAGGAGGAGGAGGAGGAGGTGTGTGGTGGTGGAGGAGGAGGAGGAGGAGGAGGAAGAGCAGCAGAAGGAGAAAATGTGATTTTTCTCGCAAATACGTTATATTCTTTTGAGTTATGTTGAACAGGAAGCTGCTGATATTCTTATATTTGTAATAATAGTGTGATGGGAGTTAGAGGCTGTAAGGACGCCGTGACGCACGCACGCACACACACACACACACACAACTGGAGCTCTGAACATCTAATCGACACAGAACAATTCTCATTTCCTCTGAATGTCCTCACTCGTCTACTCTTTGTAAGAGTACAGAACACACACAGTTACACAACAGCAGAGGCCAACACACACTATGCTAATAGCCACTGTCTGCACACACACACACACACACACACACACTTTCAAATTCCTAAATTCCTTCAGCAGCTCTCATCCATCTGTATAATTAGATAGATGATTAAAACACCTCCAACACACAGAAAACGTGTGCGTGCGTGTGTGTGTGTGTGTGTGTGTGTGTGTGTGTGTGTGTGTGTGTGTGTGTGTGTGTGTGTGTGTGTGTGTGTGTGTGTGATTGGTTCTGTTTGGACTCGATGCTGCAGCTTCTTCTGCAGCATCCAGCAGATCTGCTGCTGCTGCTAGCGAGGGAAACACGAACACTGCAAGGTCAGGGATGAGAGACTGTGTGTGAGGGACAGACGGACGGACAGACAGACAGACAGACAGACAGACACAGAGGGAGAGAGAGAACAGTCGAGGTCCAGCTGGCCGGCCGTCCTCAGCTTTCTCCTCCGATACGATGGATTCAGAGAACAACGAGTCGGGTAGGAGGCTGCTTTTTACCTTCTTACTCTCCTGTGTGTGCGCGTGTGTGCGTGCGTGCGTGTGTGTGTCTGTGTGTGTGTGTGTGTGTGGCTAACAGTCCTGCTCCTCGTCCCGGTTAAATCGATGGGCTCTCCGTCCAATCGGCTGACTCTTCACGCCGTCATAACGGGGGGGGGGCGTGGGGGTAGAACATGGCAGCAAGTTGCTTTGATGAAGCTCATGCGAGGTCACCGGAGCATCTCGCTCCACCTGGAGTCACTGTTTGTACGGTGAGATGATTGTCAGCTTCTATTGGATTGACTCTGATCATGTGACATTGTAAGCAACCAATCGGCGTTTAGAGGAGAGCTGGTAACGTTAGCAGCACCGCTAACGGCTAAACAACAGAGGGTCACTTCAGTTACGTCATGATGCGTTCAGGCTCGGCTCAGTGAAGCTGAGAACATTCTTAACAATCGGAATTCAGGTAATAAACTAATTTAGGTAATAAACTAATTCAGGTAATAGAAACAAGTCTTTATCTTTAACTCCTCACGTTACGTGAGCTGACCAGCAGGGGGCGACTCCTCAAATAAGCCAATTTACAATTTGCTATAGATGAGTGACGTTACAAGTACAATTTAAGTGCTACAGTTTGTTAGTCTTTAGTGGAGGTAGAGTCTGAAGAGGTGTGTCTTTAGTTTGCGGCGGAAGATGTGAAGGCTCTCTGCAGTCCTGATGTCTTCAGAGAGCGCGTTCCACCATTTCGGCGCAAGGACAGCGAAGAGTCGAGATCTAGTCGAGTGTTTTGCTCTCAGTGAGGGAGGGACGAGTAGTTTGGCAGATGCAGAGCGGAGAGTGCGGGTTGGGATGTCGGGTTGGACCAGGTCCTGGATGTAAGCTGGACCCGATCCATTCACAGCACGGTACGTGAGCACCATGTTTAGAACTGGATGCGTTCAAATCGTACTGGATGCGAACATAATCACTTAAAACTAAAAAAAGCCACTAAAAGGATTCAGACCTTCGTTCTGCTTCACGTCCTCGTTTCTGTAAATAAACGTTTTTATAGATGAATAAATAAAACCGATCACCACATTTAGAGAATAATTTAAAAGCCAAAAGTAGATTCTCATTTATTTTAGATCTGCTGAAAGCCGTGGCTGCGTTTCCCACAATGCTCTAGTGCACCCAGAGGTGGTAACGGGTTATTTACTACAAGGAAGGTCAATCTAGGACTGTCTGTCCTCGGTGGACCGGTCTCTGCTGGAGGACCTGGTTCTGTTCACGGTGGACTGGTCTCTGCTGGAGGACCTGGGTCTGTTCACGGTGGACTGGTCTCTGCTGGAGGACTTGGTCTGTCCACGGTGGACCGGTCTCTGCTGGAGGACCTGGGTCTGTTCACGGTGGACCGGTCTCTGCTGGAGGACCTGGGTCTGTTCACGGTGGACTGGTCTCTGCTGGAGGACCTTGGTCTGTTCACGGTGGATCGGTCTCTGCTGGAGGACCTGGGTCTGTCCACGGTGGACCGGTCTCTACTGGAGGACCTGGGTCTGTCCACGGTGGACCGGTCTCTGCTGGAGGACCTGGGTCTGTCCACGGTGGACCGGTCTCTGCTGGAGGACCTGAGTATTTTAAATAATTGGGCTCTGTAGAAAAGTCTTCTTACCGAGGAGAGCTTGAGATGTGCTTCTTCATACGAACCGTCCATGGCGAGCTGCAGAGCGCTTTCTGCTCACCGGTTGGGTGACTTTGCCATCTGATGCCCTCCAATGCGTCAGGAGCCCCCCCACTGTGCGGATAGTGAGCGATGTCTCTGTGAAGGGAAACAGACACTCCCCCACCTGATTGACAGGTGTCCACGTGTCTCCACGTCGCCCTCGGTCCTAATATGCTCACTTCCGATGAGAGACGTCACCACGGCGACTACGTCCACTTCCTGTCTACAGTCATTGGGTGAAAATGAATCATTGAATCCGGTGGTTTTGTGGAAATGCAGAATACTTTCACTGTAAAAAACCTGCACTGAGCAAAAGAAATTAAAAGCAGTTTTTTCGGTGGTTTTCTCCACAACAACATGGTGGATGTTTTGGTGCGATGAGTCATCAGGCGGTGTTCGTGCTCCCTCCAACCGTCTGCTGTTGGATGCTGGTCTTTGTCTCCTTGCCGAGAAGCCTCGTGTGGCGTCAGATGATCCTGCTGAGCACAAACACACATTTATTCTCCTCCTCCTTTTTTTTCTGGAGCGATATAAATTTAGCCGTCCGTCTGGCCGGAGCGGAGCGGCGGTGGAGGCGGCAAATTTATGGGTCATCATCTGTTTTCCTGCGAGTGCGCCCTTCAAGGTTCAAAAAGCAGGACGTGACAATGCAAGTCAATGAGCCCCCCCCCCCACCCCCCCATAGATCACCAGCTGAGCGTTTGCGTTACAGGGAGGTTTCTGGAATCTGAGTCTATAGACGGAAAGGATCCATCTGCTCAGCACTTGGCTCGTGGTTGACAACTATTCACTTTACATCACATCACATGTCACTTAGCGACTTACAATAAGTACATTTCAACCATAAGGACACAAACTCAGAACAACAAACAAAGTGCAATTTCATCAGATAAGAGACACTATTGTTACAATTTAAGTGCTACAATTAGTCTTTTGGTGTATTTCTTCATGAATCTTGCATGTTATATTTATACACGTGGAGGAGGAACCGTCTCGTCCTCGATGAGGCTCCGGGTGGAGGTGGAAGCCAGCGGAGCAGAGGCTCCCTGTGGAGGGTGGAGTTTGGGTGGATGGACGAAGTGATAATCTGGCTCGGGGTGTTTTTCTTCCTTAAAGCCTGTTATTCCCTCTCGGGGTGCAGAAGGACCCTAGAGGGATGACTGGGCGTTAATAGAGGAGCAGTTTATGCTCCTTAGTCTGGATGTTCTGAGGTTCTCCCCCCGCCCCCCTGAGGGCCGACGTCCCTCTGGGACCCCTAACTTCACGTTCATGGCTCGTTGTACATTTCCCCAGTTATTGAGGATATTTTCATTTTGTCTGAACATTGTGTTCCGTGAGGAGACCTGGTGGTTCTGCTTCAGCGGGGGTCTCTTCTTCTGCTCACCTGACGATGGAAACCAGGTGTGACGCTCACAGAGATCCGGTTACCGGGGCCCCGCCCCCTGGCCCCGCCCCCTGGCCGGTTGTCGTGTGAGGTCATAGGAACCTCGGGAGGCTTTTGTCTCGGATCACACGGAGGCTGGTAACCCGAGCCCCACCCCATCCCCCCCTCCTCCCCCGTCGGACCTGGCGGCCGCTCGTCTCGGCGCAGGGGAGCCGGTCGGCGGCTCGGGGGCCGGATGAGGTTTCCGGTGCGTGAGGTGAACTGGAAGCTTCCACTCAGGCGTCCCCCCCCCCCTCCCCCGGTGAAGTCCACGGCTTGGGTCGGAGCAGACGCCTCACGGCTCTCGGGCATGGCGGCGTGTTGCGTCCACCTCGGGAGGTACCGGCAGGTTCCCGTCAGCCAGGCCGACGGGGCCTTCGGCCCCCGGAGGGGCCTGCTGAGCTCCGGTAGGTCGGCACCCAAAAGCCTCAGTCGGCTTCAGTTGAGCCCAATGTTTCATAATAATGAAGCATTGTTTAGAGATGGAATTTAATATGCGTTCGATATGGAAAAGAAGTTTATTGAAGTTCATTAACGTAGAATAGAAAAGGGTGTCGAGCTGTATTTCAAATGCATATTTTGTGCTACGTCAAGGAAATGGTAGCGTTCAATCCCAGAAGTCTTACTGGAGGAATCCGGGCAGTGCACTGAGAGCTGGATCGGCTTTGCTTTTTACTTATTTATTTGAACCCACACAGATTATTTATATCTGAAGGAAACAACCTTGGCGAACTGTCCTGCTGCCTTTTCGCATTTCTTATTTATCGTGGTGCTGTTGGATTAATGTTGACCATAAAGAAGAGTTTAACCTTTCAAGGTGGTTCTGTAATTAATTTAAGGTTCAAGCTCTGAACATATGGAGTTTAATATGAACTTCATTATGATTCTGTCCAGTTTACGACCTGATCTCCTTGTGTGTGTGTTAAGATTTAAAGACTGTGCTCCCTCTTTACCCATCATGCACCTCGGCTGTGTTAACGAGCACTCTAGATATGAATCCTCTGGTCTTATCGTGCCATTGAGTCTGTGATGATGGATGCTCGGCCTGCTGGCTTGGTTTGGTTGGGGGGTGATGCATCATCTGGAGACGGCATTGATGCATCGCCTCCATTACAGCAGATCTCCAGCGCCTCCTGTCATTTGTTTTTATGCTTTTATTCCAATGCCGCCTCAAACAAACAAATAAGTTAACCGGGGGGGGCAGTCTGGTCTGTGTTGATGGAGTGAAGTCAGAGCTTTGTGTGTTAAAGCTGCATCCTCTGTAGTGACCAGCAGGGGGCGACTCCTCTTGTCTCAGTCTCTAGTTTCAAGTCTTCTTCAATTCAGCACGATGTTCATTTAGTAACTTTTGGAGTCAAACAGACCATGAAGGAGGGAATGCTTTGGGGCGGGGCTTCACGCTGATTGACAGGCCTCTAACAGACCGTGCAGCAGCGCGTGCTTTGGGGTCGATCAGACGTACGTGAACACCCCGGGGGAGCTTCCTGCCGCGACTCATCACTTCCTGTCCGCCGGCGGCTCGAGTGCTGCCCGCTGCCGGTCGATGGCAGGTCGCCGGTTGTGGGAGAAATAAATCATTGATTTTAGTTTGCACGGTAAATGAAGTGGAAGTTGAAGGTCCTGAGGCGTGTTGGCAGAGGACCTGTTGGAGGAGGCGTCTCCCGCCTCATCGGACGCGTACTTGTGTGCTAAGGGTTGTGTGTTGTGTGTTGTGTTGCAGGAGTGTGCGGCTGCTGTGGGCCTCTGAGGCCGAGGTACAAACGCCTGGTGGACAACATCTTCCCCGAGGACCCCAAAGTAAGTCCCGCTTCCTGATTTATTGAAGACACAAGGAGGTGATTGTCCACTTCTGAGACTGGGGGTCAATGAGACTTTGTGCCGCACATGAAATAATCATAAGGCCAACATTTGGGTAAGTGGGCACTAATGTCACTGATGGAGGCACTATGTGTCTAGATGTTTAACAGACTCCTCTCAGCTGCTCCGTGTTCTCAAATCTGACTGAACTTATCAATGAGTTTCATTGATAAGTTCAGTATTTAAGGTTGTTTAAAGAATATGATTAAAGCAAACGGTTCATTGAGGCCAATATTTTAAATCAAACATAAAAAAAATTCAATATCAACAATTTCAAGCTTTGTTTGGGTCACATTTTTTGAGGAAAGCTATTACACATGATGCGTTCAAAGACCACCGAGATAAAGCTTTGACAGGCCGTTCCTCCACCGCGCCTTAATCGTTAGACACGAGGGATTCTCTTCGCCCTCCACTACGGTTTCTTAATTGTTTTTTTTAAGCGAACAGGCGCGAAGGGAAATCGAAAAAGCTCCGGCGGTCGAGACCTCGTTGGTTTAATTATCACTTGTCGCTAGCTGACGGCTCTCGGGGGGCCGAGGCTCTCCGGTTAAACCCCCCCAGATGTTTGACACCTGCTGGTGATGCCAAGGAGGAGAGTTTACCGTCTCTCCTCAACAACAGGACTAGATGTCACTCAGCTTGTTGTGATCAAAGCAACAAGAAATGATACTAACAGTATAAGAACGTGACTCCTGTCCGCCCGCTCATCGATGAGGAAGTACTTCCTGTCTGTGGCTCCCGGCCTGTCGCTTCCTTCTGGGGGAATAAAGGTCAACCCGTTTAAATGCCTTCCATCGAACAAACAGAACTTTGACTACTTCCAGCGGCGGATGAATCCAAATGCGTTGCCCTACTTGGCTTGAACGTCTGTGTTGTCCTTCAGGATGGCCTCAGCAAATCGGACATGGAGAAGCTGACCTTCTACGCCGTGTCGGCCCCGGAGAAGCTGGACCGGATCGGTGCCTACCTCGCCGAGAGGCTAAGCCGAGATGTGGTGCGACACCGCTACGGGTGAGTCCCTCGCCCGCCTTCAGGCTCCTCCTCTTTACCAAGGAGGAGTTCAGCTTAACAAGGATGGATCCTTCAGATGTTCTCTCAAAGAATCTCTGTTCTCGTTACCATGGAAACCAAAAAGAAGCAGGAATCTGAAATTTTTACATATTTCTGTAAATCCTCAGATTGCTACTGGAATGTGAGGGATCATATCGGTGATCATATCGATCGTGAGGGATCTTATAGGTTGTGAGGGATCATAAATCTGAAATGAAATCGTGAAATGATTGAATTTGGATTTAAAGTCTTTGCTGTGAAGACCGATGCATATTTCATCCGTGATGTCATGAGGGGATTTGAAGGGAGGGTCATCTGTGACATGAAATGATCAAATACAACTTTAAAACAACTCCTCACTTTAAAATAAACAACAACAACTTCTGTACCACAAATTCATATCGTGTTCTCTTTTTACTGTTTTAATGTGTGTGTGTGTGTGTGTGTGTATATGTATGTATTTATACAGTGTAGAGGCTTGAGTACCTTTTAGTGCAATAAAAAATGGTATTATTTTAGTAATACTTTAAGTAATTTTGGACAATTATAATTATTGTGGTTGTTACTATTTTAAACATGCAGATCCGTTAACTTGATCCTTCTGCAGAACACGGATATAATAAATATAAGTGAACACCAGAAAGGAAAACCACAGTACATAATTGGACCTGATGCTCAGAGAGTTATGTGCGTGACCTTTGACCCCGTTGGCGTGTTTGAGCGTGAGCGGCGGGGGCCTCCCGTGCGGCGCTGAACTGACCCCCCCCCCCCCCCCCCCTGGTCGTCTGTAGGAACGTGGTGATCGCCATGGAGGCTCTGGACCAGCTGCTGATGGCCTGTCACTCGCAGAGCATCAAGCCCTTCGTGGAGAGCTTCCTGCACATGGTGGCCAAGCTGCTGGAGTCCAGAGAACCAGACCTGCAGGTCCTGGGCACCAACTCGGTAGGACGAAGGCCCTATTTTCTCCTGGTTCTAGTAATTCTGTCATTATATTGTCATGACTATGCTGTAAGTGGTGTCTCTACATTGAGCGTCCAGTCTCCGTAGAGGAGACCTGGGGGGGGAGGTCTTCTCCTGGGCCCCCGTGGGTGGGGTCAGGACATCACACCAGTTCACTGCTGTTAACTTCCTGTGTGCTTCCCGTCGACGGACTGAACTGAACCTGATCTCTGCTCAGAACTTTATTAGTTTGCGTCGTCGCGTTGCTGCCACAGAAGATCAAATGTGTCCAAGTGGAACCAGCAGGAAGCAAAGCTCATCTGTAGCTCCGTGATTGGGAAACGATCCCGTTTTTAGTTTGTGAACGCTCACGACGAGCTTCCCCAGAGATCCATGTCGGCGGGAATGGATTCCATGTCATCAGTATGCAGATTAGTGGAACCAGTCCATTACCCAGCATGCTCTGAGGGCCCTTGTATTCATTTCCTTTTAAATTGAGCTCTTTAAATGTGCCCGAGGGAAGCAGAATGAACGGCGTGCTCATTGGAGAGCGTCCTGAGCACGCTGCTCCCTGATTGGTCGTCTGCACGCCGTGGAGCCTCGGCCCCGCCCCCTCACTGAAACCACTTATTCTGAGTGTCTTCCAGCTGCTTCGAGGGTTTGACTTCTTTGAGTGTAAATGCTGAGGATGATAATTAGTTGCTTGTTTTTGACCTTTTGTCTATAAACCAGAAGAGTGTGAAGAGGGTTCCGAACTGATTGTTCAAGTTTCCACATTTCCTTTTTTGTAATATTATTTCATGACTTTTGTGCAATAGAACTAGACCGCAGTATTTTATCAGCTCCTCCCCTCAAAGCGTGAGGCAAAGGACACTCACGCATGTCGTCCTCCTCCTCCTCCTCCCTGTCCTCCTCTAGTTTGTGAAGTTTGCCAACATCGAGGAGGACACGCCGTCTTACCACCGCCGCTACGACTTCTTCGTGTCCCAGTTCAGCGCCATGTGCCACTCGACCCACGACGAGCCTGAGACCAGAACCAGGTGAGAACCTCAGAGAACCACCTTCATGCTGAAGACTAAAGGATGCTCCTTCTCGACTGGTGTCCTCCTGAGGAAGGTCCCTGCATCGAGGAATCACTTCATTTGGTTCTCTATATATATATATATATATATATATATATATATATATCTAATCCTGATGAGTCCATAACTAACCAGCCGCACCAGCCCATTCAAGCGGGTGAATCCATCCTAAGTGGTAGAATCGACCTTTCTGGTGACCTCTAACGGGGCGTGTGTGCGTGTCAGGATCCGTGTGGCCGGGATCAAAGGCCTGCAGGGCGTCGTGAGGAAGACGGTCAACGACGAGCTGCAGGCCATCATCTGGGAGCCTCAGCACATGGACAAGCTGATCCCCTCCATGCTGTTCAACATGCAGGACAGTGAGGACCTGGACAGGTGGGCGCGCACACACACACACGCGCACACACACACACGCACACACACACTGCCCTCGAGATGATAGTTGTTGATCTCATCAACCCACTTTCACATGTCTTTGGTGCACTAAGGCCCAGTTAGAACGCCATAAATCAGACGATGGACTCTGTTTATGCAACGTGTTTCACAGTGTCCACTAGTGTTACCGATATTGAGGCAAGATGGAGCCTTTAAGTGCTCTATATATTCATATTAACCATGTTTTCCGCCTCTCCCCCCTGTTGGTCCCGGCTGAATCAATCATGACCTCATAGTTATTCTGAGAAGCTCTAATTTAATGTGTTTTTACCGGGTCTGTTTTGAGTAAAATGCAATAAAGTGCCTATTAAATGCACAAGTCCCTGGTGATAATAGTCCTTTAAAAACCAGGATCAGCTGCTGGTTTGACGGAGAACGAGAAAAATCACAGATTATTTTAAAGTAAAGACGATATGCAATAATAAATGGGTGCATAACTTAACTATCCAGCTCATTTTATTCTAGATAAGGTCATCTGGTAGAAAAGCCGAATCATATATATATATATATATATATATATAATGTATATGTTTGTCCTATATAAAAGAAGCTCAGCTTTCGGCTCCTGTTGTACACATTTCTAACACACACACACCTCTCAGGTGGAGGCGGTCGATACTCTTTCATTTCTGCTGATTGATTCTTTTGGTTCTGTCTTTAGTCCGTCTTTCTTCTCTCTCGTCTGTCCTGAAGGATTCTCTCTCTTATCTTCTCTAAATGTTATTGCCCCCCCATGTGGAGGAGGGTTTCTTGACTTGTTCTGGAGCCTCATTGAGCTGCTTTTTGTCCTCTGAACTTGGTTTGAGGATATTATGATATTATACATTTGCCGTGATGCTTTAGATTCAACTGAGTGGCCTCTATGCGCCCCCCCCCCCCCCCTCACCTTCCTGCCCCCTAATGTCTCGCTGTGTGTCTGGCAGGGCGGGGCACCCCAGCACCCCTTCGGTGGCGGGTCAGAACGGCGAGGAGAACCCGGCGGCGCTGGCGGAGAGCTGCTTCCGGGAGCTGCTGGGGCGAGCGCCTACGGCAACATGAACAACGCCGTGCGGCCCGTGCTGGTGTGAGTACCTGGGGGGGGCGGGGCTTATAAGTCCCCATCCTGAGCCTGAGCTTCTCAGGTGGACCTCTTTGTTGAGGAGATCCTCGTCCAGTTCTAAAGGGCCCAAACGTACGCTCACGTGCACTAAGAGGGCGTGGGCAAAGAGCTCTGATAATGTCCCAGTAGTCCCACTCCCCCCCCCCCCCCTCACTCCACATTGCTTTTGCCTCTCGGCGCATTGCTCATAAATTGCTTCTCCTTGTTTATTTCCCTTCGTAACGACTCAGTTTCACTGCTTAATGAATACTGAGAGTTAGAACAACTCTTATGAGCAATACACACATTACATCTCTTTAATTTGGTGTCCGTCATCTGGAGGAAAGATGTTTAACACAAATGAAACAGACAATAGTACAATATTCAAAATAAGTGCTTCGACCTACACAAATGAAATAAATCAAATTAAAATCCCCCATAAAAGGCGTAAAAAGACGTGGTTAGAGTGCTGCTTGTAACGGGGTCGATTGCTGCTGGTCAATGATGAGATTCTCCGTCCTCAGGAGGGATGAAGCTTCTATTAGAAAAGACACCAACTGCTTCCATTCCCACATATGGATATATCATTATATTTGTTTGGTCTAACACTTGGCACGGAAAGCCCGACCTTTGACCTTTTATTGGGCGAGACAATTGATGAGGATCGTTGTTTTTTTTCTTCTGTCTTCAGTCACCTGGACAACCACCACCTGTGGGACCCCAACGAGTTCGCCGTGTCCTGCTTCAGAATCATCATGTACTCCATCCAGGTACCGTGCACACAGTCCAATAAGTACATCGGACTCATACACACACTCTGACGTACCACGTTCACGTTGTGTCATGGCGCCTTCTCACAATTGGCCCCGCCCCCTCTGCCTCAGGCCTCGCCCACTTCTCTCTTCTTACACTTTCCCTTCTTGCTGTTCCTGTGAGCCGGTTCTTGTTGTTTTTTTGTTGCTAACAGCTCGATAAACATGTTCAACTCGACAGAAACCGTTTCACCCTCACTGGATCACGCAGGTACGACACGACATCTTCAAGCCCCTCCTCCTCAGCCGGTTCACCAGCTGTGTCCACAAGCGTCTTCTTGCTCGCAGCCTGTGATCCGTCCACAGTACCGACCTTTTTATTAACGCTTTTAATAAAAAGGTTTTATACGAGTTCCAAGAATAGACCCTTAAAACTCGTCATCGAACTGGACTCGGGTCGTCTTCCAGCTTTAAACGACGTTCATGCTGAAATGTCTCGTCTGAAGTTCTGTTTGACAAAAACAAACGCACCCCTTGTTTGTCTGTGGGACGTTTTGCTTGGGGACGTCTTCACCGATGTCTCTCTGCCTCCGTGTCTGCTCCAGGCTCAGCACTCCCACCACGTCATCCAGCAGGTTCTCAATCACCTGGACACCAACAACAGGAACACCCCCCGGGTCCGAGCCGGCATCGTGCAGGTCCTCCTGGAGACGGTGGCCATCGCGGCCAAAGGCTCCGTGGGTGAGTTCCCCCGTGGGGAGACGACGGAATCGTCCTGCGGGTGCGTGAATCCCGGTCTGGACGCTCGCAGAGCGCCGGGGGCCGAACGGGAGCTGCGTTCATTGGTTTATTTGATCATCGTCTGCTGTAAATGAGCCAAAAGGCTTCTTTATGAGAAGTAATTGAACTTTCAAGCTTTAGATTTTGCAGTATTTTATGTATTTAATTCCTCCAACTTGTGTTTTACTGCCGCTGCCTGGACCCCCCCCCCAAAAACCCCCCCCCCCCCCCCGGATAGGAATGATTCACGAGTCCAAGAGAAGTGACTTGTGCACCTTTGAAAGTGAAATCACGACTCCTCCCAATCTGTGGCTCGGTACGGTATCACGATGCGTAGACTCCACCAGCCTCAGATCCAGATGTGCCGTAGTGCAGATGTGTAGTGTATCATGTGAATCACGTGACGCTTCATCGGGACCCGAGTGGCGCTTGTGTTAGCGTAGCTTAGCACGTGAGTCTTACACCTCGTTGTTGTCTGTTTTATGTGCTTGTTGTTTATTGAACGGCATTATATAAAAAATTGTGTTTGAATACATTAAAAATAAGTTAACCTAGTGCTGCACATCGAGGTGGGGGGGCGGAGCCAGTCAGCTGACTCATGTTGCTTTTTGTGCCGGTGGGATTTAAGACGATGTGAATATGAACAACAGCCCGTATGAAAACGTCGCTGCACATTCAGGAATCTGTTCTTCAAGATGCTAAATGTGTCGCTCGGATTTCTGATGCACGTTATTCGTCCTCGTTAAGCTCCAGTAACGAGCTTCTTCTGCGCTGCCGCAGTGTGGAAACCGCCGTCTGATGTTAGCGTGTGTGCGTGTGCGCGTGTGCGTGTGTGCGTGTGCGTGCGCAGGTCCCACCGTGCTGGAGGTCTTCAACACGCTGCTCAAACACCTGAGGATGAGCGTGGACCTCGAGCTGGGCGACACCTCCAGGAGGAACTCCAGCGTCAGCGTGTCGTCCGGCCGCGGCAAAGAGAGCGAGGAGCGGATCGTCCAGAACGCCATCATCCAGACCATCGGTACGGCGTCTCGCCACTTAGACCTCCTCACATGCTTTGTGCTCTCACAAACTAAGAGTCAGGAATATAGAAGATAACTCGAGGGAGCGTAAATGATGATGCCGCAAGGCATTGTGGGTAAGACTATCTGCTCTCCTTTCCAGTGGTCGCTATGATAAAGTAGACAACAAAGGAAGCATTACGGCACCACGCTGTGCTGAAGGAAGCGCTGTGGCTCCTTTCCTCAGCCTGTCCTCTCTGTCCGGTGTCTCTCTGCAGGTTTCTTTGGTGGGAACCTTCCAGACTACCAGCGAGCCGAGGTCATGATGTTCGTCATGGGCAAGGTGCCCGTGTACGGGACCCCGTGCCACACCTTGGACACCGTCAAGATCGGGTGAGTCTCACACACACACACAGTCTCTCTCTCACTCACTCACTCACTCACTCACTCACAGTCTCCTGCAGTGAATTCACCCACTAAAGCGATTTGATCCTTTCAGGCGTCTGCAGATGATCCCAAATCAAACGAGCACCTTTCTCCTCCTCAAAGACCCCCCCGCCGTCTTACCCCCTTTCTGATTAATTGCGGGAGAATAAGAGTTATTTGTCTCTGAAGTAGCTCCACTGCCCCCCGTGGGGCTGCTTCTGAAGGACTCTTCTCTGCTGTCCCTCAGGCACCAGGGCACCAAGCGGATCCAGACCATGCTGATGAGCTCGCTCATCATGGTGAGTGATGAACACGCACATACATGCACAGACTGAAGGTAGCAACATGCGCTCCGTGGGGGGGCCTCGCCGTTGATTATGGACATTGATGTTGTGCAAATGATCTTTTGAAACGTCACGAAAGTTCCACATAAAAGCTTCTGCACAGCTCCTGCTTCTGGTCATAAACCATCAGATGATGTTCCAGAGGAGGAGGTCATCATGCTCCCGTGAATTAATCTCCTCACGCTGTGATAACCCCCCCCCCTCTGACCTCAGGTAACCTCTGGCTTTAAGTCCAAGTCCATGGCGGCCGCCTTGCCTCCTTCCTTCCTCGATCCGCTCTTCTCCATCTCGCTGATGGAGGACAACGAGCTGAGGCAGCTGGTGCTGGAGATCCTGCACAACATCATCGATCGCCATGACAACCGCGCCAAGCTGCGCGGCATCAGGTACAAAATACACCACCTGGCAAAAGTGGCTCCGAGCACTAACAACACCGCGTAGAAATACTCCGATCTGAAGAGATGCATCATGGTCCATAAGCTCTTAAAATGTCAGAACCACGAATGTGTAAAAGAACTTTATTCTTTTATTTTTATCACTCAACACTCACCTGGAGGCCGGAGGAGCCGAGTGAAAGTACGATATCTACTGTGAGATGCAGGAGTGAAGTAAACGCCAGTTGGAGTAAAAGTACCTTGAATGTTTTATGAGCCGTCCTCGAGTAAATGGACTTGTTGGACTTGTGTCCCCGTTGCAGAGTCATTCCCAACGTTGCAGCTCTGAAGATTAAAAGGGAGAAGATATCCAAGCAAGACGTTGCGTTCATGAAGAAGGTAGAACATCTGGGGGGGGTTGATCCTGCTGTGCTCCCGACCCCGAGAAGAGTCAAAGTGCTTCGCTTTGTTCAACCTGCCGGTGTCAGAGGTCACGGGGTTCTGGTCGTCTCATTGGTGGAGAGCAGGAGTCCGTGGCCTTCACGCTCCATCTGTCTGTTTAGCTTTTCTCATTGGTGCGTTTCATGTGGTTGATGAGAGGTTCATCTAATCCATAAATATCAGGAGATCAGGAACATGTTCTGTCGTACCGACAATCTGACAACACCGATGTTGTTGGCAGGAAGTGATGTCACGTGGTCCCTGGCGAGGCCTCGTGTGCTTTAATAATAAGGACCAATCATCTCCTGCGGTGATCACAATGTTGTTTTAATGGACTTAAGTACAAGAATCTTTAAACATGTTGAACCTGTGTGGTGGTAGAACAGATGTTTGATTTGGTAACAACAAATGCACACTGGGGAAATGTGTTCTGTCTTTAATGAAGTAATGCCCCCCCCCCCACCCCTCCCAGCACGGCCAGCAGCTCTACCGCCACATCTACCTGGGCTGCAAAGAGGAGGACAACGTCCACAAAAACTTTGAGCTGCTCTTCACCACGCTGGCGATTCTGACCATCGAGCTGGCCAACGAGGAGGCCGTCATCGACCTCATCCGGCTCTCCATCGCCATCCAGGTGACTCCTCTGCTCCCACAGACGTCTCTCATGTAAACATTGTGTGTTTACAATGTTTACAATGTTTATGGTCTCAGTCTCGTCTGTGATTTCTCTCATGATTTCTGATCTGGGTCTTTAAGTCAGTGATTGATGGGTCAGTACCTTCGATCGAGGTCTCATGGACGTATTACCCAGCAGCCCTCCCACTCGGTGCCAACAGGGAGGACAGGGCTGGTGTCTTCATGCTGCCTTGTGTCCTCTGTAGGACACGGCTCTGGCCAACGAGGAGAACCTGCCCATGCTGATCCGCTGTGGCATCATGGCGTTGGTGGCGGCGTACCTCAACTTCCTGAGCCAGATGATCGCAAACCCCCCCTTCTGTCAGCACGTCAGCAAGGTGCGTGGCGTGAACGTGCCCCCCCCCCCCAGCCCCCCCGAGGCTGCACATGCTCACCTCCGTTCTCTCGTCAGGTCATTGAGCTGAGGAGCTTGGACGCTCCGTACCTCCTCCCAGAGCACGTCTTCAGAGACAAGTGTCCGTGAGTACGCAGCAGCAGGCCCGAAGGTCTCCGACCAACCGCAACGAGAGTAACGGCCCCGTCTCCTCCTCCCAGGCTCCCCGAGTCCCTGGACAAGGAGGACCGGCCGCTCTACTTCCAGACCGCCGACATGGCCGAGTGCCTGGCGGGACCCGGGTACAACGCCGAGAGGCTGTCCATCCCGTACGTCCCCCAGGTCACAGGTAGGCCTGGACCTTCATGTCTTCATAAGGAGCCACATGTCGACATTCACAGCATGCAAACTAACTTTAATAAGAACATCGTCTGATCAGCTCCGCCGCCTTCGTCCTCTCTGGGGATTTAAATATTTTACTTTAGAACAACATGAACATCTGGAAGATTCATGAATCCAAATGAATTTGATAATCCGGAGCTTGAAGTGCCGGCAGATATTGTTCTCTGAGAGGAGTCTAACTCCCCGTGTGCTTCTGCCCCCCCCCCCCCGTCTTCACCACACTGCAGTGCTTTACACAGTAGGGAAGATCCTCCACAGGTGCAAGCAGACGTCCAGAGGTAACGGCTAGTGTAGAGGACGAGTCCTCTGAAGGACCTCAGCCAGACCTCCAGTCTGAACACAGCACGTAAACATCTGTGTGCTAAAGCTGTGAGATAAAGGAAGGTGTGTTATTGACTCCAGATGTGGTCGGCAGAGGTGCTGAAGGTCCTATGAGGACATCTCCAGCTGTTAGATGTGTTGTCTCCCACGCATCCAAACTGCATTCTGACTCACGTCTGGACCAACCCACTGACGGGATGCGAGAAGGTCCAACCTGCCCCCCCCTCGTTCACGTCGTGGGACGTCAGAGGGACGAACGTCCTCGTCCGGGAGGTTTTGTTTTACGCTGAACCTCAGTTTGCAGTTTGGTTGTACGGGAGCGTGAGGAGAGCCTGGTCCCCGTAGAGCTGAAGAGAAGCTGCTTGATGCTCCTCTGTTAAGCTGCAGAGGAGCTGCAGGAACCAGAGGACCCCCCCGTCCCCCCTAGATGAGCCCCCATGTTGTTTCCGCTCGTAGCTCTTGTAGCTGTAGCATCTCTCTGTGTACCCAAATGCTTTTTGTCTCTAAAAATGGCCCCTGCCTTTGTTTGCACTGCGTCTGGGAATGTCCCGGTGAGTACGTGAGCGTAGGTGTCAGTAGACGGCCCCCCCCTCCTGGGGGAGTAGTCGTGTATCTTGTGGTGCTTCAGGCTGTTGATGTAGACGCTGGTTTCTATTATTCATCTGTGGACGCGTGTTGTGTAGAGGGGGGGGGTGAAGGAAGCGGCGAGCTCATAGCCCCCCCACGTCTCACGTCTCATGAGAGCGTTAACCTGCTGGACTCGTCCTGTAGATCAAGATCCGTCTGACCAGGAGGAAGAGCTTCGTGGACACAAACTCCCTCCAAGTGGACATCATGTCCAACAGCCTTCCAGACACGGTGAGCGACGTGTTCACAGGTCCAGCTGTGGACGTGGATGTCTCTGACCCCTCTGTGTCCTGTGATTTCAGTCCCAGCTGCCTGAGGAGATCACGTTCGAGACCCTGAAGAAGGCCATCGGTGAGAGACGCTTCGCCCGTTTGTCTCCAAGTCTCCGTCGCTGCCGACAGAAACGTGTTTTAAATCCGTAGAGACAAAACTGGCATGTTGACCAATGACCATGAGACACCTGCTAACGAGCTTCCTCCCGGTCCCAGACACCACCGGGCTGGAGGAGCAGGAGAGGGAGAAGAGGCGTCAGCTGATGGAGAAGTTCCAGAAAGCTCCGTTTGAGGAGATCGCCGCCCACTGCGAGTCCAAGGTGCAGAGCCTCTCCGAGAGGAGCAGCGATCCGGTTCCCAGCTTCAGCGTCCACTAACCGGCCTGTTGTTGTTCCTTCAGGCCAACATGCTGCACGACCGGCTGGCGCAGATCTTTGAGCTGACGATCCGGTGAGTCGGCGCTTTTAGGAGACTTATCGTTTGCTCTGCAGGTGGTGATGTCATACGTTCCAGCTGATACGGAATACGTTTACTGCGTATTGAAGCTTCACTGACTGGAGAAGGACCTCGTCCCACAGTCCCTGGAATCAGACAGCGTGTAACTTCCATGTGACTGCAGAGACGTCCGCATCCATGTCCTCCATCAGCAGTTCCTCAGGCTTCACCCCCTGATTAACATACAGCCCCCTCTCTTGTCCCCCCAGGCCTCCACCCAGCCCCTCCGGAGTGGTCTCCATCTCCTCGGGACACCCCCAGCACCAGTCGGTCCCCGTCTACGAGATGAAGTTCCCCGACCTTTGTGTCTACTGATGCTCGTCTGGAGGAGGAACCGGAGCAAAGAGCTGCATCAACAGCGTAACTTCCTTACCCCCCCTTACCTCCCCTTAAACCCCCTTAACCTCCCCTTAAACCCCCCTTAAACCTCCCCTTAAACCCCCCCTTACCCCACCCTCAAACCCCCCTTAATCCCCCTTTAACCCACCCTCAAACCCCACCCTCAAACCCCCCTTAACCTCCCCATAAACCCCCCTTAACCCACCCTCAAACCCCCTTTAATCCCCCTTGAAACCCCCTTTAACCCCCCTGCCCCCCCCGTGCAACGCGCCTGAAGATCGGCCTCAGGCTGAAAACGGTTCTTCCTTTTCCCCCAAAATGTACTTTCATGACTTCAGCCCGCAGCTTCTTGTGTTTCTGAACTTTGAGTTCTAACCTTTATGCTCTGAACCAACCGCTTGGTCGCACTTTGTTTCCCTGCAAGTCACCGAGATCAAAGCTTCCACCTTCAGCGCGTAGGCTTCCCAGCATGCATCTGGTGTGATGTCTTCACGCCTTGTGGAGCGCCTTGTGTATCCGTTCTTATCGTCACGTGCAGAGTTGTGCGACGTGTTCGCTGTCACAGAGGAGGACTGCAGTAACTCGCCTGCTGGTAGAAACGTCCAACCCGTTAGGAGGGACGACGAGGATGATGATGATGAAGATGAAGATGATGGAGGACGGGGGAAGTGGACTGAAAGCAGCACAGAGAAACGTCTCGCTCTTTGGATGCAGGTGTTGTGATGTTTAAGTCAACAGTGTCAAATATTCCCAGTGGGATGTTTGAAGACCTTCAGGAACAGGAAGTCACATCACCGTACAAATCTTTACTCATTAGTCAGGTTCAGTTTACCAGCATCATTTATTGTCCGTTTCAAACACGAACAACCAAGAGGTCGATGGGATGGGATCCCAAAACGGGACATGGAAGAAATGTCCATCACCAGCCTTCATGGACTCGAATGAATGAATGAATGAATGAATGAATGAATGAATGAATGAATGAATGAATGAATGTAGATGACTTGATGAAATGGGACATGAGAGGTTTCAGTCAGAAAGAACTCATCGACAAATTGTTCTGCATCCGTATCGCAGCACCTATTTACGTTTTTAACCAACATGCACAGCAATAATGAAACTACTTTTGTCTCTTTGACCGCGGGGGACGTCTCCGTCTCCTTCCATCAGGACAGAATCTGCAGTGAACGCTCTTAACAACGATAAGCAGAAGGATGCACAAAAACAAATTGATCTCCACTGCACTTGAGCTGGTTCGCTACCCAGGAAGCTAACGCCAGCATGGGGGGGCGTCTCTGGAATCGGGTCTGTGGTGGTTCTCAGACGGGAGGATGGAGGCGCTGGTGGTTGGAGGCGGTCTCACCGCTTGGTGTGTAAGCTAAGTGGCTGGAGATGTTTGGACTGAAGGGAAGAAACAAAGATCCCGTTGATACTTTCGTTGTCGTCCTGCACGTCGCTGCACTCAGTGACCTGCAACCGTTTTATTAAAACCCTCATTTCTCTTCAAGAAGAACGATCACTTGCTCGATGAATGTGTCATTCTAGCAGTAAATCATATATTTTTGTACATCTGATGCATCGTGTGCGGATACAGTGTTGCCAGGTAGAGATTAGATGCTTATTGAGGTTCAGGTTTCGATGGGATTGTGCAGTTCTTATCAATACGGGACGAATGGTCTCAGTTACGAAATGTTACTTGATTATTACTTTTATTATAGAATCCATTATGCCATTTCAAATATGCTGATACATGAATGAATATTATATCTAGTTATTTTTGCTGTGATAAAGTGGAGAGAATCTGTAATTTAGTGATTTAGCTTTTACGTCTTTAGTCGTTCCTTCAGGAAGTTGCAGCTTTAGAAATAAAAACATGTCTCATTGTGAGAACGGTTCTCCTGCAGGTTGAATATATTTTATTGTGACGTCAATACGAGAAAAACTGCTTCGACCACATTGATCCAACTAGAAGCATCTGTGAAAGTTTGACCCTCGACCTCTTTGGACGTTCTATAGAGAACCCGAGAACCCTTTGAACCACCGGAGGTCCTACTGGGACCTGAAAGAGACCCGTCTCCCCCCCAATAATAATACGTTGGTCAACATCTTCTGAAGATGCAGGACTTGGAGACGGTTTCTCTTGGAGAGATAATAATATAATGTTAATAATAATGATATTTGAGTGAATTTGGTCCTGAAGCTGCGACTTCCTGAAGGTCACCAGTCAGTCGAAGCAGACTGAGTTTAAAGAGTCGGCGCTGCTACGTAATAACGTTTAGATCCAGACGTATTACAATGAGAAGATGAAATACGGAGTTTGCACTGATCACTGTGGACCGTGTACCATAGCAAGAGGGACTGGACCACCGGTGGTCTGGACCCGTTCTGGATTCACAGGCTTCAGGTGTTTAATGGTCACATGACTCATCGGTCCGCCCACTGAGACCAGCAGATGAATTTTAAAGCCGTCACAATGAATTCTTTTATTACAAATATCAATAAAAATGTGAGAATTAGAAAATAAATCTAGAGTTTTCTAAAGAACAAGATCTTGATTTTTAATTATGCAAATCCTCATTTTTGCTTTTTTTTTGCTTTTTTCTCTTGTTAATAATTCTATAAATTTTCTCTCCGTATTTACTTATCGATAAAAGGACCAATCATTTTCAGCGTTAATGTGTTGACCTTTGAACTCTGGATGAACGTAGAATAAAGGAAGTGGAACCAGCAGAAGTCTACAGATTGTTAGAAATGTTGGTTGATGTTGCTGAATCAAATAAAATGTTCCATTAAACTGACGGGCTGTGATTTCATCGTTTGACTTCTTTCTTTTTAATAAAGAAGTCAAAGTGAAAATTTACTAAATAATATATTAATATAAATTATTGAGCGAAAAGAATGATTATTCTCACACACTTGAAAGAAAAATATTTTTTCCAATCATTTTTGTTGAATATTTAAGAATGAAAAGAAGGAACGTTTAACAAAAGGCCGATGTTCCATAAGCGCCTCCCTCCGAGGCCGCCGGGAGCCGTAGTCCTCAGGAAGATGGACGCCGTGATGTCATCGCGTGATGTCATCGCGTGAGGTCGCCGCTCGCCTCCGATAACAGTGAATGAGATCTGTGAGATGAAGATAAAGGAAATCAGCCAGTTACGTAAAACCCACGGCGACGATTCTGACCCATAAAAACAAATCCCGTTATTCGGGATGAGCAGGAGGAGTCAGGAGGAGTCGGGAGGAGGAGTTAGAAGGAGTCAAGAGGAGTTAGGAGGAGGAGTCAGGAGGAGGAGTCAGGAGAAGTTAGGAGGAGGAGGAGTTAGGAGGAGTCAGGAGGAGTCAAGAGGAGAAGTCAGGAGGAGTCAGGAGGAGGAGTCAGGAGAAGTTAGGAGGAGGAGGAGTCAGGAGGAGTTAGGGGGAGGAGTCAGGAGGAGTCAGGAGGAGTTAGGATTTACAACGCGGAGGAGGAGCCCCTGACATGAAAAGCCACACAGAGAAAACTACTTTTAAACACTGTAAATGTTGCAACGACACGCCTTGTAATCCAGCTAGACCAATCAGAGCAGCAGATTCCTGCAGGTGTCAGCAGCGGGGGCGGGGTTACGAGCCCGACGTCCAATCCCGCCGCGTCGCTCCGGTTTCCATCTCTGCAGGTCAAACGTAATAAGAACCCACAAACTACTGAGACACCACGTCACTCGTCTGTGACGGTTAGCAGTTCTCTCCCTCTGCAACATAAAAGTGCATCTCCATGGCAACAGACAGTCATGACTACAAGAACACAGACTCCAAGTGCCTCACACACAATGGTCACTCAAGTCCTCCGCGCTGTGCTCAGCGTGCACGTTAATGCTGTGATGAAGGGTTACCGCCGTGGTCGGAGGCGGAGCCTCTCAGGCTCCGGTTGTACGAGCTGTCAGTCATGCAGTCCTGTGTGAGCCTCACAGGAAGTGCTAACTCACTTCCTCCATCTCGTACAGGTGAGCAGAGATTTAATCGTTAATCATAGAAACTGCCGAGTGCACCGAAGCATTCGGGGCCCAAAAGGAGCCATCTTTGATCCTGAAGACCAGAGAGGAGCTCATGTAGAACCAGTGAGGAGGTTCTAGTTCTGTGATTAGGAAACACAGAACAAGCTGCTGTATTGTGTGCAGGATCCCGGGTTTCAGGGTCCCGGGTTTCAGGGAGTGTTCAAAAGTTGGTTAAAGGTAAAGTTTAATTTAACGATAAAAGTTGTCTTTTTACGCAGCCAGTTTTCTGTTTTTAAATTGTCCTGTTTGATGCGTCCGACCAGGATTAGTAACAACGTCCTCCTTTAAAACATCTCACATGATGTTTGGCCCGTGAGCGTGAACCCTCTGACCTCCTCACGCCGACATGCAGCTTGACCTTTTGAACCCTGGACTCATTAATAGATATTTAGCGAGCCGCATGGCTCACGTGCCTCATTCATGTCTTCTTCCTCACCGCTCACGTCAGCCGCGTTCTGGCCTCCGGCCCCCCGGGGTCCCTGCAGAAGATGGAGCAGAAGATGGAGCTGGCAGAAAGTGCTGAAGAGAAGATGAGTCATTATTATAATGTGGGAGTTTGAATAATATTTAACACATCAGTGAACCCCGTCTGTGTGATCACATAACCCCCAAGAGAGCCTAATATTAGTGTGAGTGTTTTTAAGGGAACGTAGGAAGGAACTCACCGTTCGGAGCAGCAGAGAAAATCCACATGGGAAACATGGTTCAGAGGTTAAAGACTACAATAAAAACCTGCGATTTCATTCAATTCTGTTTGTGTAGCCTCATGTTTGAGAGGGCTTAACAACCTCCACCCTCCTCCGACCTCTGACCCCATAAAGCCTGGTAGGGAGCGATGGAACCAGGAAGCTCCCCGCTGACCCCCGCTTACCCTCCGCGGTGTAACAGGCTCCATAAATCACCCCCTCCATCACGCCGCTGCACACGAGGCGGGCGACCTCAATGGCTTCCAACAGCTCGGCCCAGCGGGGGCTCGGGGGGGTGACGGAGTGGACCATTAGCGGTGGTATTCAGGGCCCGCAGCACATCGCAATAAGTCTGCTGTCTCCTTAGTGCAGTTTCATACGTTCATTTCTTCCATCTTTAATGTCACCTGAAGGCCGAAGCAATCCTCTCTGCATAGTCACGACAACACGGAGGCGTTTAGATCTACGAGGTCGCAATCAAAACCGCTGCTGTGTCCATGCTGAAAGAAATGACTCTACTTCTCTGTAGTGACCAGCAGGGGGCGACTCCTCTGCTCCCATAGACGTCTATGAGGAAATGACTCTACTTCTGTGTAGTGACCAGCAGGGGGCGACTCCTCTGCTCCCATAGACGTCTATGAGGAAATGACTCTACTTCTCTGTAGTGACCAGCAGGGGGCGACTCCTCTGCTCCCATAGACGTCTATGAGGAAATGACTCTACTTCTCTGTAGTGACCAGCAGGGGGCGACTCCTCTGCTCCCATAGACGTCTATGAGGAAATGACTCTACTTCTGTGTAGTGACCAGCAGGGGGCGACTCCTCTGCTCCCATAGACGTCTATGAGGAAATGACTCTACTTCTGTGTAGTGACCAGCAGGGGGCGACTCCTCTGCTCCCATAGACGTCTATGAGGAAATGACTCTACTTCTCTGTAGTGACCAGCAGGGGGCGACTCCTCTGCTCCCATAGACGTCTATGAGGAAATGACTCTACTTCTCTGTAGTGACCAGCAGGGGGCGACTCCTCTGCTCCCATAGACGTCTATGAGGAAATGACTCTACTTCTCTGTAGTGACCAGCAGGGGGCGACTCCTCTGCTCCCATAGACGTCCATGATATGTGTTAATTATTAATCAGCCGCCATTTAGAGGTCATGTGTGCGGCCCAAGGGCACGGTGACGGGGATCGGACCCCGCGGGCGCCACCGGGTTGGAGGCTTCAGACTAGAAGCACATGAAGCCTTTAAAGAACGCTCCACAGCTACAAGGTACGGGGAAACGTGTTGTCTAGTGGTGGTCTTCTTCTTCATGCTGTGTGTGATGTATTTACAAGTGGGGGGGTGGAGGGGGGGAGGGGGGTATATAAACCAGCACAAGAGACACGGAGCCGGGGCAGCTGGGAAAATTAACCCAACTTTTATTAAACTGAATGGAACTTTTCTCTTTTAATTCCAGACTTTTTTCCAAAGAACAAAACCTTCTGTTGATTTGAGAAGTTTCTTACATTTGATATGAATATTTAATATAATAATTATATTTATTTAAGTCTCAGTGGAACATCTGGTCCTCTTTGGCCCTAAAAACTAACATCACATCACTGCTCAGATTATACAACTCCCGCGCTGAAACCGTGCACATTTAGACACCAGGTGTGTTCGCACACGTCCTCCACATGTTGCAGAAGGTCCACTTCCTGTGGAGATGAAGAGCTCCTTGTTTCTCCCTCGTCACAGTTTGCCGCACATCTTCGTCAGGCATCTCTGCTTCAGATCTGAGGAGGAGGAGGAGAGGAGGGTCACCAGCAGGTAAATGAGGTCATCTCAGGGGGTCGAAGGTCACCTCGAAACCCAGAAGACCTGCAAGCCCCAAAGATCACAAACACGCCGTCCACCTTTCTACTAACACCTGCAGCATCTATCAGCAGCTAACCAGGACCACTTGACCAACAGCAGATTTACTTCTGGAGAAGGAGACTCTGCGGACGCGCCGACACACCTCCAGCGTGTGCTTCTCGTACCACAGGTGGTCCTCACAGTATCTGATGGATGAGAAGATCTGTTAGCTCACCCGCAGAACATCACAAGATCAGCACCAGGAAAACACTGCAGTCTTTCTCTCGAAGAGATGAAGATTATTTGGGGATAGTTTTAAAAAACATCGTTTTAATTTAATTTAATGTTATTTTGAGTGTACATATGATGTCTGCAATGGGACTTAATTGATTAACATGGATTCTTTCCTCCATCACAGCAGACACCTTTTGATGGGCGTCCTGTGGCCTGAGGGTCTGCAGAGGCACTGAGAGAAGAACTTGCAGAGCTCCAGGACGCAGGGCTGCAGCTTGTGAGCGCCGACTGTGGAGGTGGAGGAGGTGGAGGCGTCGGTCAGCTCGGGCCTCCTCCATGGACAACCTCTCAACAGACAGAGCCAGAGTCATTAATGCTGCTTCACCGAAACCAAGAACTTCATCACAGAACCTCTGGAGGGGATCAGGAGATGTATCAACGTTTGCAATTAATCAATTCACGACTAACAAAACTCTTTGACAATATTTACTGTCACGTAACAAAGAACTCAACATATATGTGTGACTGCAAATATTAATTAACTAAATAAAGGTTTACATTACAAAAATAAAGTGAAAATGTCTTCATGTTCAAATAAAGTGATTAAAATAACAGCTTGAATTTCCCCTTTTCTCGACAGTCTCAGCAAATTATGAATAATGAATCTAAACACATTTTAACACTTGAACCGTTTTTAATAGAACATATATATATATATATATATATATATATACATATAAAGGCCTTTATGAAGGTCTACGGTTAAACCTGGTCTGAATGCATCAGGTTCTCCTCCTCGCGTTCTGGGCTCATGAGACGCTGGTTTGGTGCTGCAGTGGGAAGTATTGAGGATTAGATGCTCTACTTTCGCTGTCCGCGTCTCTTTTTGCAGAGCGCCTTTTGTTCCTCATGTTTCTCTCCGTCTCCTTCTCGTCTTTTTCTCAAATGTGACCATCTCTCCTTTCTTCCTACCGTCTTGTTATTTGTAATTTGCCGCTACCTCTCACGTCTGTCCGCAGTATTGAGACGACATCGTCCTGCCTGGAATGCAAAGACCGGATTGGTCGATTGTTATCACGTGGGAGGATTTAACTCAAATGCTATTGGCCGGTGCTTTAAAGCCACTCCTGCAGCCTGATCCACTCTTCACGCACACAACACGTGTGTGTCTGCGTGCATGTGTGTGTGTTCGTGTGCATGTGTGTGTGTGTGTGTGTTTGTGTGCATGTGTGTGAGTGTGTTTGTGTGCATGTCTGAGTGTGTTTGTGTGCAATGTGTGTGAGTGTGTTGGTGTGCAGGTGTGAGTGTGTTGGTGTGCATGGTGTGTGTGTTTGTGTGCATGTCTGAGTGTGTTTGTGTGCATGTGTGTGAGTGTCTTTGGTCAACCTGTGCTTGGCTTTTTGCTGCATAAGGGGGAGGCGCTTTTGGCACCAACGGTATTAGGTTCTTTTGCCCCATGTGTGTGGACCCCCAAAACTGATCTTTTTTTCTCCCCTTATTTTACTGGGGAAAAAAGGCCGCCTTTCCTTCTTTTCCAAACAAAAAGTGGGTTTTTGGGGGGGGGGGGGGGGGGGGGGTACTGCAGTGAGACCTTACTGCCCCCTAGTGGTTGGATGGGAATGATTAATGATTAATGATTACTGATTAATGTTTGTTACATGCAAATGATGACAGCAGCAAACAATGACAATGACGCAAGAGCTTTGTTACGTTCACTTTTATGAGAATTGATCTTTTTGTGAATTCTCTTTTTGTCTCTTTATCTACTCAATAGTCTCCTTTTAAAAAGCATCAGTGATTCCTGCTTCAGAATCATCTGATCTCTTTTCCCGCCAACAGAGAAGAGACGCCAGACATTCGCAGCTTAAAACCATCAAAGCTTTCACACAAAGGGGGGGGGTCTGCGTTACCATAGCGACTATCTTAGCCTCCTGTACGGCTCCCTCTCTCCTTCCCATGCTCTGTCAAACGCACAGACACACACTCGCACACACACACACACACACACACACACTCACACACGCGCGCACACACAGGAATTGAATATCCGTCAATGACTCCAGGAGTGACAGTTATTGCATTTGATGTGATTAAAGCTGCTTTTCCCCCCCAAAACCCCTCCAGATGTTATCTATGGGAAAAATGTCCACCTGCACTTCACATCTTTCAAATGGCCTCTCTTCATCCCTTCAAGGTCATTTAGGACTATTGGGATTTGTATTCTTACAGTCAATCGTCAATCGTCAATAATGACAGAAATTGTCATTTGGGTCACGGTCCGCTTTGAGCTTTCACCTTTATTTGATATAATTACAGCGTGCAGCACGTCTTCTATTGAGTATCTGCATTGTCTGATTAGAGACTTACTGATAGCAAATTATCAGAAGGAAAATGTGTTATTTGTTGGTTTAAAGATTTCACAAATGAAATAATTCATTTAATACGAAGCTAATGTCTGCTGGCGTTCATACAAACACGTACACCTGATGCATAAAGACTCCTAAAGAGGAACATCAGCATCGGCACCACCAGCTAAGAGTAACTTTCCCATCGAGGGTTGACTATTGAACGTGTTAGTCGGGTGTGTGTGACTCATCCATCCTTCATCTGGTTTGTATCCACGGACGTGTCAGAAGCTGTGCCGTGCACCCATGAATCCAGGGCGCTGTCCGTGGTGCTGAAGTAGCAGATGGACGTTCCTCCCTTTCTTTTAGCTTGGGCTTGGTTGTGTAATAGTCTCTAAACTATACTGTCAAGGTCCCTCTTCTGATTGAGAATTAACAAATGAGATGCTTCACATACTTCCAGTTGACCTTCATATGCAACACCAACGTACAGATTGGGCATTTCATCAACTATTGTGTATTTACCTGGTTTTTGTTTTTCCACAGACTTGCTGGCTGTTGTAGTTATCCAGTTTGGAGCTCCTTTAGTCTTTCGGTCCACCGTAGGGTCTGCTGAGGATCTCTGGGTGGTTGTACTTGGCTGGTGTGTAGATGTGATTAACCGGGTCAGATTAAAAACTGGTAACAACGATCTGGGTTCGGTTGAAGCTGTGGCCAGTTGGGTTGTGCTTGTAATAGATGGAGCTCCATCTATGGTTGATGGAGCTGGTATTGTGGTAGATGGAGCTTCTACTGTGGTAGATGGAGCTTTGTCTATGGTTGATGGAGCTGGTACTGTGGTAGATGGAGCTCTCTCTATGGTTGATGGAGCTGGTACTGTGGTAGATGGAGCTTCTACTGTTGTAGATGGAGCTTGTCCCTATGGTAGATGAAGCTCCTTCTATAGTTGAGGGAGCTGGTACTGTAGTAGATGGAGCTCTGTCTATGGTTGATGGAGCTTGTACTGTAGTAGATGGAGCTCTGTCTATGGTTGATGGAGCTTTTACTGTGGTAGATGGAGCTCTCTCTATGGTTGATGGAGCTAGTACTGTGGTAGATGGAGCTCCCTCCATGGTTGATGAAGCTCGTACTGTGGTAGATGGAGCTCTCTCTATGGTTGATGGAGCTGGTACTGTGGTAGATGGAGCTCTGTCTATGGTTGGTGGAGCTGGTACTGTGGTAGATGGAGCTCTCTCTATGGTTGATGGAGGTGGTACTGTGGTAGATGGAGCTCTCTCTATGGTTGGTGGAGCTGGTACTGTGGTAGATGGAGATCCGTCTATGGTTGGTGGAGCTGGTACTGTGGTAGATGGAGCTCCGTCTATGGTTGGTGAAACTGGTACTGTGGTAGATGGAGCTCCGTCTATGGTTGGTGAAACTGGTATTGTGGCAGATGGAGCTCTCTCTATGGTTGATGGAGCTGGTACTGTGGTAGATGGAGCTCCGTCTATGGTTGGTGGAGCTGGTACTGTGGTAGATGGAGCTCCGTCTATGGTTGGTGGAGCTGGTACTGTGGTAGATGGAGCTCCGTCGATGGTTGGTGAAACTGGTATTGTGGTAGATGGAGCTCTCTCTATGGTTGGTGGAGCTAGTACTGTGGTAGATGGAGCTCTCTCTATGGTTGGTGGAGCTAGTACTGTGGTAGATGGAGCTCTCTCTATGGTTGGTGGAGCTAGTACTGTGGTAGATGGAGCTCCATCCATGGTTGATGAAACTGGTACTGTGGTAGATGGAGCTCTCTCTATGGTTGATGGAGGTGGTACTGTGGTAGATGGAGATCCGTCTATGGTTGGTGGAGCTGGTACTGTGGTAGATGGAGCTCTCTCTATGGTTGATGGAGGTGGTACTGTGGTAGATGGAGCTCTCTCTATGGTTGGTGGAGCTGGTACTGTGGTAGATGGAGATCCGTCTATGGTTGGTGGAGCTGGTACTGTGGTAGATGGAGCTCCGTCTATGGTTGGTGAAACTGGTACTGTGGTAGATGGAGCTCCGTCTATGGTTAGATGGAGCTGTTACTGTGGTAAGAGGGAGATCCTTTCATGGTTGGTGGAGCTGTTATGTGGTAGATAGAGCTCCCGTCTATGGTTGGTTGAAACTGGTACTGTGGTAGATGGAGATCCGTCTATGGTTGGTGAAACTTGTATTGTGGCAGAAGGAAGCTCTCTCTATGGTTGATGGAGGTGGTACTGTGGTAGATGGAGCTCCGTCTATGGTTGGTGGAGCTGGTACTGTGGTAGATGGAGATCCGTCTATGGTTGGTGGAGCTGGTACTGTGGTAGATGGAGCTCCGTCTATGGTTGGTGAAACTGGTACTGTGGTAGATGGAGCTCCGTCTATGGTTGATGGAGCTGGTACTGTGGTAGATGGAGCTCTCTCTATGGTTGATGGAGCTGGTACTGTGGTAGATGGAGCTTTGTCTATGGTTGGTGGAGCTGGTACTGTGGTAGATGGAGCTCCGTCTATGGTTGGTGGAGCTGGTACTGTGGTAGATGGAGCTCCGTCGATGGTTGGTGAAACTGGTATTGTGGTAGATGGAGCTCTCTCTATGGTTGATGGAGCTGGTACTGTGGTAGATGGAGCTCCGTCTATGGTTGGTGAAACTGGTATTGTGGCAGATGGAGCTCTCTCTATGGTTGGTGGAGCTGGTACTGTGGTAGATGGAGATCCGTCTATGGTTGGTGGAGCTGGTACTGTGGTAGATGGAGCTCCGTCTATGGTTGGTGGAGCTGGTGAAGCTACGTCTGTGGTAGAGAGAGCAGGTACTGTTGTAGACGGAGCTCCGTTTGTGGTTGATAGGGCTCGCAGTATGATGGGTAGAACTCGTATTGATGAAGCGTTTTCTGAGGTTACTTTTGTAGATGTGGTTGATGGAGGTTCTACAGTCATTGATGGAGCTACTGTTATGGTTGATGGAGCTTTTATTGTGGTTGATGTGAACCCACCCAGGGTTGGACCTGCTGCTCCAGAGGCAGTAGTGACCCTCAGTGTGGAGGTGGGTGGGGCTGCTGTGATTGGCTGTGAGATGGCCCCTCCTCCTGGACCTCTCTGTGGTGTCTCCGCCCTGGTTTGACCGTGAAGCGTGAAGGTCGCTGGCTGTTGGTCGCTGGTCTTCCTTTTCTCTGACGGAGCAGCTGGTGAAACTGACGAAGCACAAAGGAGGCGAAGAGGAAGTCAGAAAGAAAAAAGAACAACACGAGACATCGTGATGATGCTTCTATGTTGCACTATTACTGATTCTAGTTCTACAACTTACATGATCTTTCACAAGCAGCAGTATATTTTTTTATTTTTTGCTCAAATAACATTTGCATTTCAAGAACCCTGTCAGACCTACAGTGGAGCTTCAGATTATGTGAACTGTGAGACCTTGCTAATAACTGCTAACAGCACCACACAAAGGTGCAACATTCAATAGCAGGAAGAAGCAGAAGCTCATTCCTGTTCACAGCTTCCATAAGAGGAGACCCCTCAGAAGCCGACCCCCCCACAGACCCACCGTGTGCGGTGGAGTGGACTCGGCTGGAGCTCATCCCAGATGGAGATGTTTGTGTCCCATTGGAAGGCAGCTCGATCCATCCTGGGTTACAAATAGATGAGAAGATGTGAGAAGATGTGAGAGGCTCTCCAAGCGTCCTGAAGGTCAACAGAGGCCTTTTCTTCTTTTTTCTACTCACTGACGGGGAGCCTGAAGGAGGACACGTTTCCTACTGGAGAGGAGAGAAGAAAGGTTGGGGAGCAGAAGAGGAACCTGTGGAAGGTGTTACTCCTCGTGCTCAATGCAGCATCATCACGTCTCTAGTCATCATCATCGTCCCCCATGTTGTTTTTCATAAGCCTCAGTGGCGAATAGTGCGCGACGCTCCGAAATCATAAATGATGGAGAACTTTAATCTCATATTCGTGTTAGAGGGATCTGTCTGAACTCCTACTCATTTATTATGTTTTATTTATATCCACCGTCCACAACAAATAAACCAATAAAGACAAAAAGAAAAATGAGGCGTGACTTAATGTGTGAGTCATCCGTGAATGTTGATAGAAAACATCTGCAGCCATTTTAAATAATGAAACACTAAACAAGTCACATCACGAGCTGCAGGAAAGCTGTTTTTAATAAGCTGATAATATTAAACTGAACTGCCAATCATTAATGAATGTATTCATGTATAAATGAGGATGAATATCATACATTCTATATTGTTATAAGATAAAATATGATTAAACAACATTTTTATAACTAAATATTATTTTATTCTGTGATATTAATTTTTCTTGAGTATTTGGAGTGTTGTTGGCTCAGCTTCTACACCGAGCCAACACTGCCACCAGGTGGTCCTCAGAGACCATGACACCACGTAGTCCTCAGAGACCATGACACCACGTAGTCTTCTTGAGACCATGACACCAGGTGGTCCTCAGAGGCCACGAGACCAGGTAGTCCTCAGAGACCATGACACCACGTAGTCTTCTTGAGACCATGACACCAGATGGTCCTCAGAGACCATGACACCACGTAGTCTTCTTGAGATCATGACACCAGATGGTCCTCAGATACCATGACACCACGTAGTCTTCTTGAGACCATGACACCAGATGGTTCTCAGAGACCACGAGACCAGGTAGTCCTCAGAGACCATGACACCACGTAGTCTTCTTGAGACCATGACACCAGATGGTCCTCAGAGACCACGAGACCAGGTTGTCCTCAGAGACCATGACACCACGTAGTCTTCTTGAGACCATGACACCAGATGGTCCTCAGAGACCACGAGACCCAGGTAGTCGTCAGAGACCACGACACCAGATGGTCCTCAGAGACCATGACACCACGTAGTCTTCTTGAGACCATGACACCAGATGGTCCTCAGAGACCATGACACCACGTAGTCTTCTTGAGACCATGACACCAGATGGTCCTCAGAGACCACGAGACCAGGTAGTCCTCAGAGACCATGACACCACGTAGTCTTCTTGAGACCATGACACCAGATGGTCCTCAGAGACCATGACACCACGTAGTCTTCTTGAGACCATGACACCAGATGGTTCTCAGAGACCATGACACCACGTAGTCTTCTTGAGACCATGACACCAGATGGTTCTCAGAGACCACGAGACCAGGTAGTCGTCAGAGACCACGACACCAGATGGTCCTCAGAGACCATGACACCACGTAGTCTTCTTGAGACCATGACACCAGATGGTTCTCAGAGACCATGACACCAGAGAGAGAGATGGGCTAAAGGGAAACCTCTGTGGGGTCCTTCCACGATGGTCTGGTTGAAGAGCGGCGTGATGGAGCCCTCCTCCCACAGACGGGGCTCCTCTCTGCCTGCAGGACACACACACAGACACACACTCACACACACACACAGACACACATACACTATTTACGCGTTTAAAGATTCCTGTCCTTCCATCCGGTCGCTTTCTTTAATGCTTTGTGTGACTGCAGTTAAAAATAGTTTAAAAATAGTTTCAATGTGCCGGGTTTGATTTCAATCATGCAGATGTCGACACTGACCTGGACCCTGACCTGGACCCTGACCTGGACCCTGACCTGGACCCTGACCTAGACCCTGACCTGGACCCTGCAGAGATCTACTCACCCGTCTTACCTGCCATCACACAGATGTAGATACAGTCTGAATGGTTCCTCTGGCTTACTGAGACACACAAGCACAAAACACATAGACTCTGTATAGATATACACATAAATATACACTATACATACTGTATATATATATATATATATATAGGAGACACATGCTTTGGAGTTCTGACCTCACACCCACCTGATAATATGGAGGCGGATTTAAAGAGCTCTTGAAGGTAACTGGTAGAGTTTCCCATCACGTCCAGCAGGATGGCCGTGAAGTCTGCGGGGGGGGCGGGGGGGGGAGGGTCACTGACATACTGAACTGCGTAAAGTCACATGACACCCAGAGATGAGCTCACCTGTGAGGTCGTTGGTCTCGTTGGTGACACAGTAGCAGAACCTTCTCCTGAACTTGTTGCTCTCCAGGCTTCTGATGCTTGATACTGTAAAAAGGTTCAGAGATGATTCCATCTCTGCTCTCTGACCTGCTGGGAACATTTAGCCAGATTGGAGGCAGAGAAAGACCTTCAAGCAGCCTTTACAGTCTCTATGGTCAAGTTAAGTAAAAGGATTATTACTGTTTTTAATTCGGGGACATACAGACATAAAGAGGAAGACCCACATTCAGGGCTCAGGCTGCACATTACACATTTATTTTTGAAACTTTTAACCAACACTGCACAGCTCATCATGTCTGAGACCTCGTCAACGGATCAGAAGCCGTATTGAGCATCAGATATTATTTCAATAACTTAACACAGCTCACTGCAGGCAGCGACACCTCCAGCCCACCGGGTGGCGCTGCTGACTGCAGGCCTTTAGAGTATTGTGTATACACAGTATTATAGAGAGTATTGTGCACAAAGAGTATTACACACAGAGGTCTTCAACAGGGGGTCTGCGAAGGTTCTGCAGGGGGGGTCGCAAAATGTTTGTTTGATTAGACTATATGTTTTTTTTTTTCAACAAATTGTTTTTCCACAAATTGAAATGTCTTCAGAATCAGAATTGTATTTATTGTCTTTAAATACACATGAATCCAACATGTTGTAGAAACGGATAAATTGATGGAGGAGACGTTGTCTTCGGTCCCTCAGCAGCTCTCAAGCTGGACACCGGTTCACTCATCACGCTGATACGACATCACAGCCAATCAGATCCATTCATGCTCACGTCTAAAGAGCGAAGATCTCAAAGATAAAAGATGGAGGACCAAACTCCGTAGAATAGTCCCCGCTCCATCTCGCCATCGGTTTGGGGGTCCTTGGCCTGAAGAGCGTTGAGGACCCCTGGTGTAGAGGGTTGTGCGTACTTACTGTTGTAGAGCAGCAGGGTGAGCTTATGCAGAGCCAGAGAGCTGTAGGACGTCACGCTGAGGAGGGAGAAGAGCTGCCGGGAGCCTGGAGGACCGAGCAGAGACAACGACGTGACCTCACCGTGCTTCTGGACCTCTAATAGAGTCACATTGATCCTCGCTGGAGTGAGGCGACGCGCTGAGTGAGCGATATGCTGATGAGAGTATTTAGAGGAATGATGAGAGCGTTTCAACGTGTGCTTGTGACGTAAATACACATTTACGTTTATTACAATACGAAGTGATCAACATTCCCTGAAAGGAAACTGTGGTGAGCCGTCTTCTCTAGACCAGCAGAAGATAAAGACCGTGTTGCATCACCTCCACCTTCACACATAAAGGGTTCTGAGTCAACTGGCCCTTCGATGCGCGCAGGAATGATGTCACGGCGACGTACCCGACTGGCTCGCGTTCACTAAAGTATTGACCAGGGGGGTGAGGTCGATGGCAGCCGGGTCCAAGTGCTCCGCTGGGACTTCTGGGAAATAAAAGCAGACGGTAAAGTCAATGGCAGCTTATTCTGGTTCTAATCTCCATTATGGAATTAGCCGCATCAGCAGAATGTGTCCGTTTGTGTCCTGAGAGGATTGAGTCCTCGGGGTGAAAGTTACTAACGTAGCTTCACCAGTGATGTCATCCATTCATCTTCGCTGTTATGAAACCTGTTCTAATCAATTCACATCAATTACAACTTGTATGATGATGATGAAGACATGAGGAAGACCTGTGGAGTCCAGGACGTCTCTTCTGTGTCTCACGTCTCGCCGTCCGTCTCTCAGCGCTGAGAATCAAACCAAGAAATGAAACATTCTTCACTAACGGTGAATTTTGTTACATTGTGTGAAAAGTGGCATCAAACAAAATGTGGATGAATTATATTAAATAATTCAGTTAAAACCTAATCGGAGCGACATTATCATTTAGTTTTTAATTACACTCAAATGACGAGTTCCAGAAGGTGGAGAGTCTCCAACCACGTGTTGGACGAAGCAGCACCGGATTGTGATTATTATTGAGGTGACCCACCTTGGCTGAAGAGGACCAGCAGCGCCGCCGTGCACACGGCGAGGGCGGGACGCAGGCGAGGCCGCCGCGCTGCTCTCTGGGAATCCGCCATGACGGAGGCGAGGAGCCGCCGGAGCCTGAAGGACCCGCGGGCCGCCATCGGGCCCCCCGCCCGCTCGGCCCCGCGCCTCAGGAGAGAAAGGCCCGCAGCCGTGAAGGACATTTCCTCTTCCGTCCTGACTCTCCGCGATGACGTCACGATGACGTCATGGGCATTCACTGCTCGCCAGTGGAACCAGTTGGACCAGTGGAACCAGTGGAACCAGTGGAACCAGTGGACGGCGGCTCCCTGGAGGCCGAGGTGAAGCTACTGATAACAACACGTTTATTATTCCTTAATCCGGAGGATCAAACACCTCGACCCCCCCAGGGAGACAAAAGTCATTTAGTTCAAAAGTGATTAACTAACTTTAGTTCAACTGAACTTATTGACTGTATTAGAAGAAATCAACAATAAAGGTTTTATTTACACTTAAAAATAGAACAAAATCTAAAAATGACATGCATGAAAATGTTTGGTTGTCCCCTAAATTATTTCCTGATATTTCCGTGTGTTGTTGTTTATGATCTGCACCATATTGTCAACATTTAAAGAAAAGTGCAAAACAATTTACATCTTGTTGAATAGATCAACATGCCGAGATGTTTATTATTAATGCTACAAATGACTAAGTGAAGAAGTAAAGTGTAGAGAGAGAATCAGACTTATATTATCATATAATCATATTATCATGTAATCATATTATCATATAATCATATTATCATACTATCATATAATCATATTATCATATTATCATATACTCATATAATCATATAATCATATTATCATATAATCATATCATATAATCATATAATTATATAATTATATAATCATATAATCATATTATCATATTATCATATAATCATATAATCATATGATCATATAATCATATGATCATATGATCATATTATCATATAATCATATTATCATATAATCATATCATATAATCATATAATCATATAATCATATTATCATATTATCATATAATCATATTATCATATAATCATATCATCATATAATCATATAATCATATTATCATATAATCATATAATCATATCATATTATCATATAATCATATAATCATATTATCATATAATCATATAATAATATTATCATATAATCATATTATCATATAATCATATAATCATATAATCATATAATCATATTATCATATAATCATATTATCATATAATCATATAATCATATAATCATATTATCATATAATCATATTATCATATAATCATATAATCATATTATCATATAATCATTAACGCTGTGACCTCATGAAAGAAATCAGACGACTCACCAGCTGCTCGGAGCCTCCTGCAGACTGTGCAGCACGGAGCTCCCACACACCTATACAAGATGGGGATTACCCCCCCACCCCCCCCTTCACCCTGGCTTCCGGGACACATGGATTGGGAGCTGTGTGGGACGACACTGAGAGCTTCTCTTTAACCTCCCCCCCCCAGAAAAACAAGGTGTCTGGCTGCAGGCACTGATCCCTGACCAGCTGCACTGCAAGAAACACCACAGCCGACTTCTCACAAGAGGATCCACTTCTTCACGCAGACGTTCTGCTTGTACCTCCCTGACTCCACCTGTCCATCAAACGGTGATCAAGTCACCTTTCCTGCTCTCACAGCAGCATGAACATGTGGGAATGAGCCTCTCTGGTTACCTCACGCTCACAGTCCACCTGCTGTCCCCTCCAGCTGCCGGAGGGTTCATGTGGACCTGAAGGTGTCTGAAGGTCTCTGAAGGTCTCTGAACCTGCCACTCCAACCTGCTGGGGGGTCCCTACAGCTGTTGTCCAATCAGCTGCTCCGATCTTCTGGGGCTGCAGCCGTCACGTCTCCATGGGTCTACTTGTACAATAATCTTAAGGTAGTTTTGTGGTGTAAAAGTCCTTGTGCGCATATGAGGAGTCAAACATTTCACAGTCACACAATTTCAATTGAATACTTTATTAATAACTGGTGCGATTGAAAAGACAACAAATTAAAAAAATCATGTATGAATACATTTGCATATTATATCATAAAGTCAAATATTCAAAGTGGTCGAGTACAGATAAGAAATGGTGAGTCATTTTTTTCTTCCAACTAGAATGAGAAAATAAAGCAGAGCTCTGAAGGCCACTAGTTTGTTTAAATGAAACCTAAGAACACACAAAAAGCTGCTGTCAATCAACACGAAGCGATGGAGAGACATTTTCATTTAAAGAGCAGCTGATGATCTTCAACATGCTTCTGTTCTCCTTTTTCCTTCACGTCTCCAAGGCGATGGTCTCTGAGACAAAGTGACAGAAGCTTTGTGTCGATGTGGTGCAGGTTCATGTTTAATATCTTAATATCGAGGATAGAATCGTCTGGCTAAACATGTTAAACATGCTAAATGTTAAACATGTTAAACATGTTTAAGCTTTTGGCACTTTTTTCAAGTGGCTCTCCACCACTTCATTGTCCACCGAAGAAAACACAACACAACTTGTGAGGGACACATGATGGATGATGAACGGCCTCCCAGCATGAATTCATCAAGTTGACCCACTGGACCGGTGTCACGTCTCTATTTCTATTATACAGGTCGATCCAATGGAAAATTATGAACATTACTTATTTTCACAACATTATTAAGAATTTGGACTGAAACGTTTGATGGATAATGGAAGAAGGAGAAACGGCTCGTGCACGGACTCAACACACCACTGTGCACGTGATGACTTGAGATTAATCCAGAAGTAGTTTGTTTAAATCTGAACAGAAGAGCTGCTGTATTTATCGTATTTTATGTGGCCGACCTGAGGAACACGCTGTTCTTCTCAACAAAGACTGAAGACAGAGATTCACAGAGTCTCCTTCCCATAGACCTCTATACAAACAGAGGAGTCGCCCCCTGGTGGCCGGCAGAGGGAACCTACACTGGTTCCTACACCAGGACGACCACCTCCAGATAAATGATCCCCTGTGGATCTCAGCCAACCTCTCTGGGAGAAAGCTAACTGAACAGAGACGGCTGAAGGCCGCGTTTAGCCTAGCTTAGCATTGAGACTGGGAGCTAAGGGAAGCAGCTAGCCCAGCTCCCCCAAACACAGCAAACCTCCTCCGCCATTCGTCCAAAGCTCTCGGCGGTTTGTCCGTCTGTAACCACGTCGGTTACCGTGTGCGTGAAGCCGTCGCCACGGAAACCACGAGCAGCTCTGACAGCCGGAAAGAGAAAAGCCCGACTAGCGATACAAAAACATTGAAAACTGTAAAAAGGCACAAATCATTCGCAGCAATTAAGACATCTTGAAAACGGCGGGTTGTGTGGAGCTCAGTGATCGGTACGCGGTCACCATGACGACAATCACCCCCTCGACCACACGGACGACCACATGCTCCTCTCCTCTGGAAGTGTATGTACACCTACACGCATGGAAGTACACACCTGTGAACTACACACCTGTGAAGTACACACCTTCCACCCAGACTTTCCTCTGAGAATTCTTCCAAGTTGTCGTCACTTACTGGAAGCGGAGCTCAGAAATACACCTGATTTAAATGTAAAAACAAAACTCCTTCGAGGTCGGACGGTCGTCTTCAAAAGTATTTAAGAAGTTTCAGGTTGTAATTTGGAGGAAGATATAAAATCTGAAAACAATTCAGTGTGATGTCGAGCATCTTTGATCGTAACACACAAAAAGTTATTTAAAGAACAACAAATGAAATGGAAGCATTTACACTATAAAAAGTAATGCTAGCAGTTCAGTGGTTTGTGCACGCCGCAAAAAAGAGACAAAAAGTCAAAATAAGATTCTTGTCGAATCAATTAAGTTTGGTATTTAAAAGTAAATAATGGATTTTACTCCACTTGAGGTTGTTTTGACGCGAGAAAAATCATTTTAGGACATAAAACACCTCATTGTGCTGTTGCTTTTCTACCAATTCATTGAGAATATAAGAAATACATTGTAATCTGCTAAATATTTGGGTTGGTTTTCTTGTCATAATGTCTCGTTCTCGAGTTTTGGAAGACAATTTGAAGTGACAGAAGGAAGCCAGACGTCACGTGGTTCAGTGAATGGAGGAAGGAAAAGGAGAAGAGAAACATCGAGCATCAAGAAGCTACCAAAGAGCATAGAGCAACACCAGGGTGAAGGAGCAGAGGAGCACAAGGAACGTAGGGAGACATCTTCATGGTGTGTGTGTCCATACGACAATTTGTGTTCCGCATCGCAACACAACAGCATGTTTAGGTCGTTGTTTTTATCTGAACGGGCTTCAGCAGCAGAACATTATGGACTCTGAGACAACGAGATAAACAGAAGAGTTTGGATCAGCTTCACTTCCCACAGCTTCCACACCGGGCTTCAGTGTGAGCGCCGGAGCAACGGGGCGGTGCTTGTTTTAACCGACTCGGAGCGCCGGGCGGGTGGAGTTTTCCACATCTGGAAACTTCACATGAAGTCAAGAATTACATTTATATTTTTGGATTATCTTTTGGTAAACGCACACAAGTCGCAGCATTTAATTGATCATTAACCACATTTGTCCACTTGGCCCATTTCTGAGCTTCTTTTTTATCCTATTTGTTGGCAAATATACTTTTTTTTAAAGTTTTAGAATACTTGCTTAAAGGGTTATTAAGGGTCTTTAAATGGTCTGTTCACGATTCAATAAAATAAAGACCGACGTGGCTGAAAGGAACATTTAACAATACTGGATGTTTGGTAAATTTGGGTGAATTGTTCTTGTCTTGTCAGATTTACACGTAGATGTTAACGTGGGCACTTTGGTAAAGGCACTGTGTTAAAGTTTAAAGGTATTGATGTCATTTGAATTTAGTCAACAGATACAGAAACACTTTTTCAAAATTTCTTTGACCAGAAAGTTATTTTTGCACAAAAAAGGATACATGTGTGGATTTAACCCCCAAAAAGTCAATAAAATAATATTTTATGTTAGTAGAAGAAACGGTGGAGTCTTTATTTTGCACTTTCAGATTAATATTCCAGTTCATTATACTTAAAAGATGAATACAAGCACGGAGAAATAAAATCATTTTGTAAGTAATTAAAAGAATTCACAGTTTGACCTTTGACTCCCTCTGTTTGGATTGTTGATTTGGCCTAAAATGGAAAAGTTATTTTTGTTTTTGGCTTTAACCAAACTAACGAAGCGGCTGAACTTGCAGAGGAAGCCCGGCGGGGAAGCCCCCCCCCCCGACCCCCCCGACCCCGAAGGTGCTTTGACATGCCGTAGACAGGTATTACATTCGGTATCTAAAGTATTACTGCGGTTCTCCTGTGAAGCTCTTTGTTGCTGCAGACTGAGTCTCAAAGTCCGAAACCTCTTCACCGCTTCAGCCGTTCACAACTGAATCCAGAACGCTGGTCAGAATTTGTGTGTTGGCAGAATTGAGGATTCAACACGAGGAATCTAGACGTCCTCCGTTAATAACCGTAACCAAAGAGACAAATCAATGTAAACGGCTCGGTGCAGGATTTATTGTAAGAAAGCATCCATAGCTAGAAGACTTACTGTACATGATTACAATACTAAAGTTATTGTTTCTTTGCAGAAAAAATGTGTTTAAACTACAGGGTTATATTCCTGAATTCATGTGCAAAAGCAGCAGGGATTTAGTGTGTTGAATTCTTTCTTTTTTAGCTGTAGAGTTGTCTGCATAAAGTGTTGAGATACAACTCACGAGCGCAGCGGTGTGCGAGCAAAGAGATTGTGGACAGTCGAGATCCTCGGTCGGGTTTTACAGCACAAACAGCGGTGAAACTCGTCCTTCATGCCCGAGTCTCTCTCTCTCTCTCTCACTCACATTCACACACTCGTCAAACACACAGGAGACTTTTGGTTCACACCCCCAGAATGCTGCATCGTCATGCAAACCGTGCAAGAAACCATGAACATGTATTCATATAAAAAATAAGTGTTACAAAATGGCATAGCAGGTATATGTGTCCATTCGATCGCTTTCTCCGGTTCCTGATATCTGAACGTCTAAACATGGCATGCGTCACATGCAGTGCGGTTGGCTTTGAGCGATAAAGCTTTTGGGTGGATATAGAATGTATATTAATGTTCTTATTCGAGCTAAATCTCGGAGAAGAGAGCGCTGTACAGTTTTACTTTACAAACTGTCTGTTCGTGTCATTTTTCTGGGCAGTCTGATGCCATGGCTCTCTGTGTGGTCGGTTGGGGAGATCGGCCTGAGAAGGTCGACGACCTCGCAGCATCAAGGCGGGTTCGACCCCCCCCACCCTCTCCCACAGCCCCCTCCAGCGTTGGTTCGGTCCAGAGCTGAGGCTCCGACCCAAGCTGATTTGGGTTTAGAGGCATGGGTTGGATTCAAGGTCTTAACTCAGATTTTGGTGCGGTCGCGCGCACCCCCCCCCCCTCTCAGGGCGGGGTGTTCCACACGGCGTCCCCAAACCCCTCCCCCGGGGATGAGAGAGGCAGCGCCCCCCCGCTGGGCGTGAAGGGGTCCGTGTCCGTGTCCGTCTCCCCCTCCGCCAGGTAGCTCGGGTCTGGGTCTCGTCCAGCTGGCTCTCCCGATGCCCTCCCGCCCGCCGTGGACAGTCCGCTAACTCATCCTGCTTCCCGAGATGCTGAAACCGCTCAGGAGCGCTCCAGCTCATCGTGGGATCACCGACAGCATCGAGAGCGGCGAGTCGCCCCCCCGCGCCCCTGTGGTCCTGCCCGGCCCCGCTGACAAGTCCTGCAGGGAGCTGATGGGCAACACGGTGGGGCGCTCGGCGTAGGTGGGCACGGCAGCCGGAGGGCGGCGCTGGTGGAGGAGTGGCGGCGGGGGTTGATGGCCCCCGCCGCCGCCACTCCCTCCGCTCATCTTGCCGACGGGCATCTGGTACGACAAGTGCGGGAACGACTCGGCGTAGTTGAAGAAAACCCGTCGGATCTCACCGGCCCCCGTCGGGTTGCAGGCCTCCAGGGTCATGTGGGCGGCGCCGGCAGAGTCCACCTGCAGGTGCTCGCTGTGCTGGATGTGCATGTCCACCAGGAAGTCCAACTTCTTCTCCATGTCCTCCACCTGAGACAGAGTCACAACCCCAGATGACGGACAGCTTTGGTTCTCCACTGCACATGTTGCTATAAAGGAACTCCGGCCCGTCACGTAGTCCAACACAGAAATGATGAGTCATGGCTGGATTTTATTCATCATTCAGCATTGTCAACTTTGCAATTAGTTGAAAGTTCTTCACAAATCACCGGTTGTTACTGATATTGTGATGAGCTCTACGACCTACGATGTCTTTAGCTGATGAATTTTACTTCAGGATTCAAACCTTTAAAGATTTGCACTCAAGCTGATATTCCTAACAAGGAAAATACCACAGTGTTGGAAGCCTTGGTATTTATCTCACAAGGCGTCTCGGGGGTTTCTTCTCCTCACCTGTCGCTCCACTCGGACAAATCTCCCCATCATGCTCAGGTCTTCCACATCTGGAATGGAGGTGGCTTTGGCCAGGTAGGACTCGTGCCTGGAACACAGGGACACTGAGTAGACTGAACAGACGTGTGAGATCAAGAGGACGACTAGTCCCTGTTGGAACTCCACAAAGTGTACGACATGAAAGCATATTCCCTCAACATTGTGTTGTCTAATAATACTGGAGTGACTGTACCTGGGCGACTGATTGGCCGGGTAGTTAAAGGGCGCTTTGGGGGTTTTCTTTTGTTTGGGGGTGAGGAGGGGTCCAGGGGCGAGAATCATGTCAATCCTTAAAGGAAGAGAAACAGGATGAGATGGAGGAAGGTACATCTGCTTCACTCAAACATCTGCGGGTTGCTGCTGACCTTGTCTGGAGGTATTTGATTCTACAGAGCATGTCCAGGTGTCCGGCAGAGTACTGCTCGATCACGTCCTTCACATCGTAAGGCCTCAAGGTTTCCTTAAACCGCTTCTTATTCAAGAGGAATTGCATGATCCTTCAAGACAAAGACAAAATCCTATTTTTTATCAAGCTTACAAAGCGCTCTTTATGCGATAATATACGTTCAAACAAAGCGGTGTCACCAGGCCATGAGTTGAGTTAAATAATCCCTCCAGTACCCAGAGAACTTCTGAGAAGTTCTGAGAGGTATTAGAATCAGGGACCCAACCAACTCCAATGGTTCTTGTCCATGAAAGAACTGAATACCGGGTTCAGGTCTTGAGTTAAAACACTTTTAATGACGAGGAAAAGGGGAAACATGAACACACAACAACTAGAGAACCAGTGATTCCATAAATGGAAGTAAGACACACGTACTTGGACCTGGGATCAAAGGCCAGGTACACAGTGCTTGTGGAATGTATATTGGATGAAACCACGTCGTTGAGCCCACCCCGCCGCCCCCTGAGCGCCCTCTTTTGTCACACAGAACTCCCACTTCGAGCCGACTTGAACACCACTCTTTCCAGAGACGGCGGCTGCGGGGGCTTCGCGGTTTGGCAGAAAGTCTTGAGTCCTGAAACTGAAACCCCGGCAGGCCCGAGCATCCCTTTCAGACCCATTCAGACCCCAAAATAATGGTGTGGAGGGAAGCAGCACTTTCACAGCGTTAATCACTCATCTCACAGGCCCTCACACGAGATTGAATGCCTGCATTGTGTCAACGGCGAGGCCTATAGCTTCACCGGCACACTCGCTGGTGTCCTCCTGCAACGTCCAGGCTCTTTGACCAACAGTCTTTTTTGTATTGGCACGTTGCCCTTTGCTTGTGGTGTACCGACACATTGCTGAGTACACTTCTACAATAATACAGTAAGAAAAATAAACCTGTTCATACACGGACCGATTACATTTACTTGACTTCAAGGAGAGAAAAAGCAGCTTAATGCTGTTTTTGTGGGACTCGGCTTGTGGACACGCCATCATGAAATGCACATGTAAAGCTCCTGACCTGACCGCCCTGATGACCAGTTTCAACGTGGGGATCATCTCCTCCATGAGGATGTCCGGGGGGAAGCCCCGCTCCTCTAAGGCTGGTTCTGCCAGGGCTCCGCCATCTGACAGAGAAAAACCACAAAGTTCATGGAAAGTGACGACTTTCACCTAAATCTAATAAACTCAGCGACGTCAGTAGGACTTTATTGGAATACCTTCAGAGCTCTGGCGGAGCGTGTAGGCCTTCATGCGGAAGGCGGTGCGGAAGCGTTCCCGGTTACTGAAGCCGGCCGGTTTGGGCTCCTTGGAGGGGCTTTCCTCGATGGAGTCGGTGTGACCCGTGAGCCTCTTGCCCGTCCCAATCGATGGCCGTGCATTGGGGAGGCGAACGCGCTCAAGTAAACTCAGTTTTTGGCTAAACATGAGACAAAAAATGGGAAAGAGATGCTGATGGAGTATGAGGTGGTCATGATGTACAGTACTACACCATAAAGCAAGACTGAACACAGTAATGTGACACAGTTCTTAACTCATCTCTTAACCCAAAACTGATCAACTTGTTATGGCCCCAACTGTTAAGTCACTTCTTTTAACGTCTTCTTGAGAATGAATTCATTATATTCATTATATTTTGTATAGCCCAAAATCGCAAATTACAAATTTGCCTTAGTGGGCTTTACAGTCTGTACATGTGCGAATTATATCTGAAGAAGGTCTAAAGACTGAAATGTCTCCCATATTCCTACAAGCCAACAGTTTGAAGGACTTCAGCTCCCATCTCAGTGACACGTTGTAATAATCACACCTTTTAATGTACCTCAACTTTGGGGGAAGTTGGTATTTTCGACTTAATTTAGATTGTGATTATAGTGATATATATTGTGATATATAGACAATAGTTCCAAAACAAAGTTCAGACTTCAAAGCATCTTTACAGATTGTCCCCACCGATTTTTGGCGATATAAGAAGAATCCTTCAGCTGCAACTACTGGACATCTGTAAGGATGTCACAGCCAAAGACCCTTGAGATGATGGGACACGTGTCAAAGCTTCAGGTCAAAACATCCACAAATAACACAGATTCTACCGATTCTACTCATATAGTCCTTCGGCCGAAACACTTTATCGTTCCCGCTAGAACATTCACGTAAAGGTTCCACCTGGAACCCTTTCAGTGTGTGATATCTGTGAAAAGTTCCACTGAGAACGCCCCATGAGAAGTTCTACAGCCTGTTATTGGCGTGCTAATAAGAAACCAGCCAGTGGGTTCTACCCACACTATTTTCAATTCCACCCAAGGGCGGAATCCACCCACCTTTAAAAGTACGCCATGGGTTTAATCTGGAACCCTCAGGGTTCTTTCCATCAATTCAACTCATACTCTTGCAAACATGGCTTAACCAACCCGTTTTATAAAAAGTGTTCCGAGCTTAATTTAACAAAATAAGCCGCTTGGACCTGAAGGTTTTCACCGGGTTTTGTGTCTTTTTTGTGTGTCTTCTCAAGGATCTTCTTGAATCTCACTTTCCTCTCAGAAGAGGCGAAGTCGTGACGCTCTGCTGCCTCGACGTAACAATGCTGTTCTCCTGGCAGGAGAACCTGGTCTCCTGGTCCGTCCAATAGCTGACAATATTTGGCAGCACAAAGACAAGAGCTCCCGGGGTAAAATAAGACTCCTGTGTGCCTTGGAGGAGGCCGAGAGGCGGGGTAACCGGAGACGACAGCAGCCTGAACGGGGCCTCTGAAACGTGGAGCGTTCTCAGCGACTTTGCTCCCACAGCAGACACACAATATGAGCCTCTTTGTGGCCTCGGGGCAGAATAGCGACAGCAGATTACGGCGCTGAGAGCCTGCAGAATAGGAAGCTTTAAAGGAAGAGAGAATCTCTTTCTGGCTGCTTCTTCAGCATATAAAGAGAAAGAAAATTACAGGTGATTATCCCGTGGGTCTCTGTAGGCGAGGCAACACAACAGAAATACTGCTCCTCATCCCCCACCGCTCTGCCGCCCTGAACCCCCACGGACCAAGTGGTTTCCTTCACCTGAACAAACCCGCGGTGACACTACGAGACGGATCCACTTTCCATGTTACCATTTAACCGTTTTCACCAAGCCGTCTCTCGCACGGCCAAATTCTGGCATCAAATCTAACGATATTTTGGCGGGTTAAGGGCTTTAAGAAAAAAATCATATCTTCATGTGCTCAACAATTGACTTAATAAAAACGTCTGGTTCCCTGTAAGTTACCGTTAGCTAGCTAACGCTCCCCCGCGCAGTGACACTTGCTTTCCTCTTGAGGGATTAAACAGTAAAAGATCCTGAATACTATTATTACTATATTATCATACTACATTATTGACTTATACTCCCATAATACATTTGGATTTATAGTATCAGGTACCTGGTGTATATTTTTTAACTGTTGTTGTCCTGCCAGGTTTTATTACTCCCATTTATTGATTTACCATTCAAGAGTTAGTTGGCTAACAGCTAACAGCTAACAGCTAACCAAACTAGATACATTGGCACCTTTCTATGAGCTGCCTATGAGTCTTTACAACACTTTAAACCATTGGGTTTTATTTATATATTTAATGGCACTTTCCCGAGAGTTGTGCACTGTGAAGATCCACATCTGTGAGGGAAGGAGGGACGACTAAAACATCTGAGGCAGCGCAGGTCCTCACTCGGACGGTCAGAGCGCACAGTAGCGCTGGATAACTGCGATAAAGGTGTGATATGAAGCGCTCTCAGTCAGTAAGTGGCTTATCGACCTCTCGGCGGAGCTGCCAGCTCTCTGGCCGTCGTCCACCTCTTCGCTCAGAACAACAAGATAATGTCAGGCTGCTAATTTCCCAGCCGCCGATCGTGTGAGCGAGTTACAACTGTGCCTCCCTCTCTGGAGTATCTACTCCACTGCATGTTACTATGGCCCAGGTATCCAGGGGACCCCCCCCCCCCGTCAGACTGTGTCTGTGGCGCTTTCAGCAGCAGTAACTGGATCCGGCGTGTTGGACATGGCGGCCGAGTGGAGGCAGGGAGGCGTCGGAGCAGAACGCTGCGGTGTAACAAGAATGTGATCAAATCAGTGCGACATGGACGAGGACAGAAAGAGAGACAGTGAAACGTCTTCGTGTAGATCCAGGGACGATTGTCCGCTTTCCTTATCGGGTGACTGCACACTGACTATCGTCGTGTTTTTATAACCTGTACTTCTTAAAAGGGCTTTCATATTCTCATATTTCCATTAAAAAAAACTGGTACTTCGGTGTCAGATTCAGCAAAACATTTAGTCTTTTTGTGCCATGAAGAGACAACACACTGTGACAGGGTTTATAGCTATGACTGGTACAACCTGTCAATCAGCGTGTAGCCCCGCCCTAAAGCGTCCCCTGTGTGATAAACTCATGTTTACAATGTGTACTGAGGGAATATATCATAGACTTCTATGGGAGCAGAGGAGTCGCCCCCTGCTGGTCACTACAGAGAAGTAGAGTCATTTCCTCATAGACGTCTATGGGAGCAGAGGAGTCGCCCCCTGCTGGTCACTACAGAGAAGTAGAGTCATTTCCTCATAGACGTCTATGGGAGCAGAGGAGTCGCCCCCTGCTGGTCACTACAGAGAAGTAGAGTCATTTCCTCATAGACGTCTATGGGAGCAGAGGAGTCGCCCCCTGCTGGTCACTACAGAGAAGTAGAGTCATTTCCTCATAGACGTCTATGGGAGCAGAGGAGTCGCCCCCTGCTGGTCACTACAGAGAATGCAGGTTTTACACCATGAAGCTTTGGATTCCTTCTTCACAACCAAAGGTTTCAACCAAGAAAACAGAGCTGTGTCCAAACGAGTCACAACATCTTTCTCAGAGACGTGTGTTGATTCCTGTAACGGACTCAAGCCATCAGTTCAGCAGCTAATGATGAAAAACATTCATTTTGCCAATCAAACCTCCTCAGTGAGATTTCCTGTGACAGGTTTTGACTGCAGAGACTCATTAAAGTCCCCCCCCCCCATGAAGAAAGAAAGTCATCAAACATAAAGACCACGTCTCAGGCGCTAATCACTGGATCCAAACTGTCCCCCATGAATGAAACATTCCCACTAATAGTTTTCTATCAAACAATCTCTGCCTGAATGTCCTCAAAGTGGCTGATAGACTGTTAAAGAGCGGGACGAGGGGGGGGGTCATATCACCATTTATATATTTACAACATTAGATCGCAGATTTATCTGACTTGAATCAATACAGGAAGCTATTATAAAGTGTGGGGGGAGGGGGGGGTATTCTGGGAAACCTTCATTAGTGTGCAGTTAAAGCGCCTTTGGACAGATGAGGGGACGTCGCTCACCTCGCGATGGCCTCCAGGTGGTCCTTCCTTTGGACCGAGAGAGAAAGACACGAGGAAAGTTAACGAGTGAGGAAGAGCCGGAACATCTTCCTCCAAATTCAGAAAGTCACATACTAAAATATTCATATTGTTTATTTGTGTTTATTTAACCCCTTAAAGTACTATTTGTTTTGGCTCTTTGTCCAAAGCGGCAACTTGCCATTCATTTGAAACCGACTCACCAAAAAGTGCTGATTGCACACCAGCGTGTTTAAAAGTAATACATGAAACTGCTCATTATTCATCCCTAATATCTCATAGGCAGAATATATAATATAACCACGAACATTGGTTGTTACTGCTAACGCTAACTAGCTCTCCTGACAAATTAAACACAGACTTGTTGTTGGTTTGTGGGCTTATTTTACTTGTTCATCTGTTTACCAGGAACGTTGCTCATCAATCAACATTTTGGTTTCCTCCTGGATACAAATGAGCCCGACTGACTATTTGGGCTCGTGGCAGGCAGGTAAAACATGAACATGAACCATAAGCAGCGTGACAATATAGATTTAAGACAATGGAAAACTGGTGTCATTCATGCCGATATATGAAACATACGATGAACAATAGATCTCACTGGGTGTTACTCACCTGAAGCAGGGCAAAGAGATGATGGTTTCATAAAATCTCCACGTGGCAATGAGGTCTTCCCTGATTGGATTGGTGGAATAATATCTCCAGGCAGACTTGATGGCGAAGGAACAACATGGCGGTTAAAGAGTTGAAGGTGAACCTTTGACTGACAGCGGACGTCGGGTCTCACCTGGATGAGCCCGGCGGCCGGATGCCGGCGCTTCTCAAAGTGCTTCTGCCTGTGCTGCTCCTGGACCTTCAGAGCCAAGCCGGAACCCAGGATGCCCTGCAGCCACACGGACACAGTCAGCATCACCGTGGACAGGGTGTGGACATGGGTCCACAGGTAGTCCAGGAGACAGGTCCACAATGAGACGCGACATGACAAATAATGCAAACAGACTCACAAGACTCCAATTAGCTTCAAAGACCAAAATAACTAGAAAGACATGCAAAACAGCTCAAAGAAGAGATGATCCAAACCAGGAGGTCTAAGGATTCAACATGTACGACAAAGAGACTTAAATAACTAAAAGGAGATGCAGAAGAGGCGCATAATCGGACCCAAAGAGACCCAAAATACACTCAAAAGGGCAAAAAGGTGGAAAGGAACCACAAAATAACCACAAAGAGGTACAAATGAATCTTGAACACTGTGGTTGTGCTGTGCGGGGGAGGGAGAACCAGGAGAGAACACTCACTGCAGGCAGAGCGAAGAAGGACACTCCGATCAGAGCGAAGGTGCCGGCGAGCAGCCTCCCGGCCCAGGTCTTTGGGGTCTTGTCCCCGTAGCCGATGGTGGTCAGCGTGATCTGCAGAACCACAACCAAGAGACATGTTTGACGCCCTTTTCTCTGCACGGATACACAGCTGTGAGAAACCGTGACCTCTGTGACCTCTGTGACCTGTGTGCCCCCCCCCCCGGAGTTTGAAAGGGTGTTAACATTGGAGCATCTTGCCCAAGGACACTTCAGCGGTCCAGATGTCATGGAACCGGAACCTTGACCCCCCCCCTCCCTCATCCCCCTCCCTCGCCTAGTTGAAGGACGGTTGCCTTAGCGAGGCTGTGCTGAATTAAATTAACACTGCACAGCGCCCCCCCCCCCCCATGGAGCTGGAAGCTCCGCCAACACTGGAGTTAATAAGCAGCTGGGTTTGAAGGTTCCCGACTGCACCTGAATGCAACGGAATAAAACTTTCCATCTTTTGGACTGCAGCCACTGAGCTGCAGCCAGATCCGCATTCAAAGCCCCCCTTGCCCTAAAGGCGGGGGACAGACAGAGAGAAAATGTGATGTCTCCCCGAAACGATTAGAACTTCACGGATTATTGCCACTTAAAGTGATTTACACGTTTGTCTCATTCCTTCCAACGAGTCAGAAGGAGGCCATGTACGCACCAGCCCCCACCACAGCGCGTCGGCGTAGGTGTCGAAGTCCTGCGGTTTGGGCTGAGCGGTGGGGTTGTCAGGGTTGGACACGTCCATGGAGACATCGTCCTTCTCCACCAGGTAGACCAGGAAGGACGCCAGGATCAGGGACAGGAAGCCGATGTACCAGGCGGTGATCAGCTCCTGCAGGGACACCTTAAGCGTATTCAGGTGGACTAAACAGATCCGTCTTAGACCTCCACTTTATTCTGTCTGCTATTTCAGCACAAACATCACCGATTCATTAACCCCAGCGCTGTGATTAATATATATATTACATATTGCGTATCACTGCAGTGCTCTCAGCGCCTTTTAAGGCTCCTCCTCCTGCGGCCCGTTAGGGTAGGCCCCGCCCCCCTCCCCACCTTGCTGTGGGCGTAGATGGCGGACCCCAGCAGCTTCCAGGTCCCGCCCCTCCGGTCCATGCGCAGCATGCGCAGGATCTGCAGGAAGCGCAGGCTGCGCAGGGATGTGGCCAACACGTTGCCCTGGTTACGCACCGCCACCACCGGCACCGAGGCGATCAGCACGAAGATGTCTGAGGCGGGACAACGACACGCGGCGTTTACCCGGGGGTGCTCCTTAGGGGAGGAACCGATCCAACATTAGAGACTTGTTTTACCCAGAATGCACAGGGGTTTGCGGGCGAACTTGAGCCTCCCCCTCCAGCCTTTGTAGCGGCAGCAGCATCCCGCCGCCCAGACCCGCAGCCCGAACTCCGCCCCGAAGATGAAGATGGCGAAGGTTTCCTGGAGGAGAGGAGCGAGAAGTCAGGTGCTGCTTCTTCTCGCTCAAGTTAGACTTCTTTCTTTGGGAAAACATTTCTTGTTGTATCTCAGAGTTGTATCAAATTTGTCGTAGAAATATTGAATGCAAAATTAAAACATTCGCTCTATGATTATTAATTGAAAATAAATATCAAATCAGTACAGAAATCAACTCTAAACTGAATAAAGACTCCAGCGTGAACATCGAGTGTAGATGATGGAGAGTCGGGTCAACACGACGCACTGCGTCTCATTGTCAGACAGGACGACACAGGAGGACATGAGAGGACATGAGAGGACATGAGAGGACAATGTTAAAGGTCAAAGATGAGAGCAGAAGCTCCTCCTACCAGGATGACGAGCCAATGAGCAGAAACCTTCTCGTGCTCCCTGAACGTCGTCAGAATGGCGAGAATCAAACATCCCAGAACGATCAGAAAGCTGCAGGGACACAGAGCAGCCAAGAGATGACTACATTAAATACATACATGTATATATACTGTATATATATATATATATATATATATATGTATACATATACTACACAAACAGGAGGCGCGTGCTGAAGCCGCCACTAGAGGAAGCTACATCTCTACAAGTCAACAAGAGCATTTTTGTGCAACATCTCATTGACAGAAATGAGATTAAAAGCCTCAACAATAAATGACACATTTCTGAATGAACATTCTAAGAAGATACTTTTTTTATACTTTTCAAAGCAATGAGCTTTTTAGAAATGTCTCGAAGTAAGAGAATCATATTAAACTGTGTAATTCTGACCATGAATCTCAATGACGATCAACTCGTTCTGATCATTTGAAGACAGCAAACTAAATACTAAAAGCGTCGTTTTCATTTTTCCCTTTAAACTCAAACAAACTGAGCAAACTTCTGGACGAAGGAACCACAGACACAGAACCAGACATTTCATTTTGTGGACATTTTTTGCAGTTCCTCCGAGGACCCCGTTGAAGGCCTCTGTGTAGACAAAGTAATGAAATAAATGTGTTATTTGCGGTGGTCTCAACGCTCTGTGTCTCTTTATTCTCTCCATCAATTCTTTAATATTAAATACGTAAATGTCGTCCTTTCAGGGCCCAATCTTGGACACACGGATACAAACGGCTACTTAGATGGAAGCAGACCCTGTCCACAAGGTCGGACCGTGACCCCCCCACAGCTGCGTGTTCTCACTGCAACGCGCCAACGTTCTCGTTAGGACCGTTAGGAGGAACGTTAGCTTCAGAACGTTATGGAGAGGAAACCAAAGGTGGAGCATTGATTGCTACGCCCTCCTCCACCCCCCCAAGCTGCCTCTGAATCACGCATCACACCCCGCCCCTCCCTCTGGGCGCCATCATCACCCGGAGGAAGCGGCGGTCCCGTGGCGGTCGGGTGGGCGTGGTTTGTTTGTGATCACATGGTGCGTTTCGCTGTTCTTTCTCCTGAACTCAATTGTCATAATTTTCCTCCTCAAAGTTCTCCAGAGGACGCAGGTCAATATTAACTTGATAGCGATCCGAAGGCCCGTCGAGTCCGCTGGGGGACATTTAACAGAGAGCTCGTCTGGTCACAAACATCTTTATTATTCAAACTTCCTGTTTCACAGCAGAGCTCCGATTCACTCCCAAAGTTTCAAAATCTTCAATCGTCTAATAGATCTTTATTAGTTTAAATGCTCATTGAGCCGCGGGCAGCAGGGTGGGCGGAGGAGCAGCTCATGGCTGGTTACTCCTTGAATATATTACATTATACATACATGTGGGAGCGTTTGGTAATCAGTTCCACCCAAACCACCACCTTTCTCTTCTGTTTCCTGTTTTGAAAAGACCGTATTTATGTAACAAGTGCAGATCAAAATGAGACGTTTTAAAAGCGATGGTGCTTTTTACTGAGATGGAGGTGATGGAGAAATGTTTCCGCTCGGAGAATCAATCATGTTTTGTGTATTTCCACATCAACAGAGAAGGTGGAGGCCGGTCCAGTTGAAATGTTTGGGTAAGCTCACCTTCCCAGCCTCCCTCTCTCTCCATTAATCCACTTTATCTCCCTCTATATCGTCCCAGCGGAGGCTCAGCCCGGCCGGCCCCCCAGGAGCTGATCCCCCCCCCCCCCGAGGATCCCTAACAACCGATTTGCCGGCGAGATTCAATAAAGAAAGTGCAGACGATGCAATGACAGTTGATTAGCTCGGCGATGTGCAAACAGCGGCGGCCTGCGTGGTGCCTGATGACACCGGGTCTCCAGGAGGAGTTTGGAAGACGACGTCTCACGAAGTGATGAGATCGTTTTCCGCTCATGTGCACGATGTTCTTTTCTAAATACATTTAAAAGTTAAACTCTCCTCCGCACAGCAAACAATCAATCGCCGCAAGCAAATCTAGTCTGGTGAGCTTTGTGTCCCATTCAGCCAACGACTTCTGTCTCATTCACAGAAAAGACACACGACTCCATTCATTCCAGCCAATCAGCAGCCGGCGTTTCAGCTCGTGGACAAAGTGGAAAGTAACAGAGCGAGACAGTAAAACATGTTGGCTGATGAAAATCAAGCACATCAACTTCTTCTCCACATGTGAGTCCACACGCCTGAAAACACCTCCTGCATATTTTAAACGTATCATGTTCCTCATTATAAAAGCAACACTTCAACGACATCGCGGATCCACACAGACACACACACGGATGTCCATCATCTTCTGTCTTTGTCATTTCAGCACTAAAAACCACCCGAGTCCAAACCAGTAGATCTGCACCACCAAAAGGCCTTCGGAAGGAATGAGGAACGGCCCAAATATCCTCACTTTCCTCGCCTGTGGTCCTCACTACGTATCAAGTACCAGAACCCCCACACACACAGTCCCCTCCACCGCCCCAAGTGAAACGGGAACTTGTCCGTCCTCCTTAAGGAGACCTTCATGCGCTCTGACTGACACCTTGACGTCGGTTTAATAACAATAATTCATTTTGGACGGATTACAGCCGGTGAGCTGGTGAGCGACCCTGACGCGGCCCCCCTGACGCAGCCCCCCGACAGGAGGTCAGAATGATCTGCGCTGGCAGCGGTCCTGACAGGAGAGCATGCTGGGAGTGATGGATTCCTCCCACGGTACCTCAGCCCCCCCGCGGAGAGAGAGGGGTGAAGGATACGCAGTGATGATCTGGGGTTTGCTGATCATGCAGAACCTGCTGTTTGATCAGGAGTATCCTGACCCCCCATGCAGCGTGTGTGTGCGTGTGTGTGTGTGTGTGTGTGTGTGTGTGTGTGTGTGTGTGTGTGTGTGGGTGTGGGTGTGTGTGTGTGTGTGTGTGTGTGTGTGTGTGTGTGTGTGTGTGGTGTGTGTGTGAGGTGTGCATGAGTGTGGGGGGGGGGTTTGTGGGGTTTTTCTTCCACAAATCAGCAGCATGACAGCTGACAGCCACCTTGAAGTCCTGCGTCAGAGCTGCAGAATCATCCCGACATCTTAGTCGATCAATGACTTTATGACTCTCTGCATATTGTCTTTGTCCTGCAGGATCAACATGTACCATAAGTAACTAGTTACTAGTGACCATAAGTTTATTGGAATCATTTAACGAGGAGAAATTTGTACAACTAATGAGGAATATTTCATAAAATAAACCAACCATTGTACGAGGACGGAGGCAACAATAGAACTACTATAAGTACAATACAAAGTAAATCACTAACACTCAACATGAAGATGTTCACGGGGTTTAATAACACGTACATTTTATTTTTAACGTCTGAGCGGTGACGGAACAGTACGAAGCAGTGAGTCGCCTTAATCCGATTCATCGGAGCCAATTAGGAGACATTTGTTAATTGAGGCAACGGAGCAAAAAAAAAAAAAAGAAGAAAGCCACTGATAGAAAATCCACCTTCCCCCCTGAGGACTTCCCTCCCTCCCTCTCCTCACAGCGAGCCAATCGGAGTGAGTCGTGCGGCGAAGTCGCCCGCGGCCTCGCGGGAGCGAAGTCAGCGGTCGGAGGAGATCGATGGAGCTCCGGTTTAATCTCTCCGGTGTCTCGTTAGCGATTCTCTCAGGTTCTCTTTCCCTCGTCGCTTCAGAGGAGGTGAGGTAGTACTACTAGTGGGACTACTGCTAACAGTGTAGTACTAGTAGTACTAGTAAATCCTCCCAGAAGAATCGAGGTACTTCATGAAGGAACCACAGAACTAATCAGGACTGAATGTATGCGTGTGACGAAGCAAAGGTCAAAGGTGATGCACACAACCTGGATGACACAGAACACCACCCGGAGATGTGATGATGAAGCGCCTCATGGAAGCTGTGTAGATTGTGCGTTCGCCCCTGATGGACCTTCCAGGCCACACGGCCAGCGTCACAAAGCCACCCGGGTCCATCGCCGCACTCGGCTGCCCTCGACTGTGAGGAGTTAAGGAGCAAATCTCAAATCCTAACTGCTAATTATCTTAGATTTCCTCAGCGTGTAATGAGGGTCATTCCAGAGGAAATGAGGTCCAGCGACGCCTCGCCAGCCGCTGATGAACAGAGACGAACGCGCTCCATCACAACGAGGACACGAAGCATCTGCAGGACAAACTGTCCACCCTCAGGGAAGTAGTCAAACTTTTGTCTCACTTGTTTTGGACGAGTGTCATTGGAGGTAAAATTAACAAGAAAAGAGTTTGCTTTTTTCAGATTAGGTGAGAAAGGAGGAGGAGGACAGATGGAGAGAGATAGAAAGGACGCGAGGCAAAGAAAGGACAGAAGAACGATGAGCGCCATGAAACAAGGAGGAGACGAGAGGAGGACTGAAGGGAAGAAGGAAAGGAATGTAAAGAACTGCTGAGAAAAGGAAAGGAAGCATCGTTGAAGGATTGAAGGAATCAAACAAAAAATGGTGCCGTACATTTTTGGGGATAAATATAAATCAGTGTATTTCTACATGAGAGGGCCGATCAGATCAATACAGGCTGAAGGACTAGAGGTGGATCGTGGCGCTCTAAAGGTGTTTCTGATCCAGTCCTCTCTCATCGATCAATACTCCTCAGACGGCATCTTCATCAATCACCGGCTGTCACGCGGTGGCCTGTGTGGGACTCATTAACGGGGGGGGGAGGCTCTACCGGGGTCATGAGAGCAGATTTATCGACCTCTGATTCACAGCCCATCAACTATCATCATCGTCGTGGGGCCCGCCGAGCGGACGAGAGTTCGATCGGGGGTTTAATCCCCACACGTGAATTATGGCGGCGGGGGGGGGGGGGGAGCAGGCCGGCGGGACGGATGCGTGTTGACATCCTGCGGGTTCTGACGTGACATCACAGCTCACGCGGCGTGACAACGGCCTCGGCGGCAGCGTTCACTCAGCACATTAAAGTCCACGACGCCACTGAAATCTGTCCATTCGGCTCTTTGTGATTCGCTCCGAACGCTCCGACATCAAATGATTCCTGCAGACTTGTGAGTGCGCGT